GAACACGAAAGGAATGTAGGTACAGTAAGCCCTTGCTATAAGGGGCCCAGATGTGATTAACAGAATCTGTGGTTATGCAGCTGTGAATTTCTGGAGATGCTGAGGCTTTGAGAAAGTTCTGTAGTTAGAAAACTATTTAAAATTAAAATAAACTCCCATATGGAAATATTTACGCAATCACATTGTGTGTTTCTATAATTATTGCGTGTCTTGATCATATATCCTATGGTGAACTTCCGTGAATACCTCTTTATCTCGGTTATAGAGGACATCGGCGATAATATGCCCACATTAATCCGTCATAACGAGTGTTTACTGTTATGTACAGAGTGATTCTTATTTATTGTCGGGGTTTCAGTGGCCTATAATTTTCAAATCGGAAAGAACAAAATAAAATTGTTTATGGCATATAGAAACGTAACTCAAAAAGATTTATTTTATTAATTCTATAAGTAATAAACTTTNTTTTGAGTAACACTTTGATATTGCATCAGCAGTCTCGTTTTATTTGTTCCAGTTTGAAAATTATAGGCCACTGAAACCCCGACAATAATTTAGAATCACTCTCTATATATTTTCAGCGCTTTTCTGTCTACATTCCCCCTAATATCTTCATGGCGTGGTGCTGTATTAACAAGGATAAATTTACCTCTACTTAATATTCCGTACATGCGCTTTATCTTCTGTGATACATGGAGCTCTGACTCAGACATAGGTAGCTTCATAATAATAATTGAATTCAACTCGCTGTTTATTTACTTGCGGAGCGCAACAGCCAATGGCCAATTACAAATCAGCAGGAATACAAACAACAGCAATATGATTGCACAGGACAAAACAAAAAAGAATCAACAAAAACAAATAAAAATTAATCAGTTTAGGCTTTTGAGACTCAAACAAGATTTACTAAAAATATATGTGAAGTTGCATTTGTGTTTGAAACACATCTACCTGAAGAACAACTGAATGTGTTGAAGTTATGAACGCTCCGAGTAGGAACCCAAAGGCTGACTATTTCGAAAACAGAGGAGCCATATTTAGTGCCACTGGAACGTCAATTGAGAACAAAGCATCGAAGTGACGATTCCTATTATAAAATGAGAACAAATTTAATCTTTCCAATAAATTATTATATAAATGTTCCATATCTTTGAAAAACACTATCGTGGTAAAGGGCTGCAATTTTCTTTGTGTGCCCTCAAGTTTATTGGAATCAGTAACCGTAACAGATTGTAGCTGCCCTGGGTGATTATGATGATGGAGAATTTGGTGGAATGAAGATTGGCAGGGAAAAAACGAAGTACTCGGAGAAAATCTGCCCCAGCGCCACTTTGTCCACCACAAATCCCACTTGATCAGACCCGGGCTCGAACCCGGGCCGCCGCAGTGGGAAGCCAATGACTAACCGCTTGAGCTATGGCGCGGCCGAGTTTAGATCTTACTAGAACAAAATACAGCATAAGTAGATGTTCTAAGGTGGTAAAAAAATGTTACGAGTATTTTACGAATTTTTTTTGTCTCATTTCCCTGGCACTACAGCCCAGTAGGCCTAGGCCTACCTCCATGAAATTCTCTGTTCACATTTTACGAATTAGCCCTACTAATTTCCTTGCACATGATGAAAGAAAATCGACATGACAATAAAAATTAAGTTTACATCAATATGCAAACCCAAATCCTTAATACACTCTGCTCGCTACATAAAGGAAGTTCCAAGTGTGTACAGGTCATTCAGAAAGTTCGTCTTCCTAATGAAAGAGATAAATCTAAATTTACTGAAATTAGGCTTCAAAAAAATTTCCAAACACCATTTATATACACAATCAATATCTGACTGTAGAAGTAAACCGTCACTAGGCGAACTAATTACTTGATATCCTTGAAGGTCATCAGGGAAATGAAGACAGTTAGAATGATTAATTACGTCACATAGACCATTTATAAAAATAGTAAAAAGCAAAGGCCCTAAAACTGACTCCTGATGTACGCCTCACTGCACGACAAAAAGCAAATAAAGTAAAGTAAGTAAAATAAAGTAAATGTATCCCTGTAACAGACCCAGAGGGTTGTGAGATGTTGAGGTTCCCACATTTTCTAGACAATCGGCTCATAGATGGCGGCAAGGTTGTCAGCCTTACGCGCCGGCCGCCCTTTAGCCCCAAGAATATTCCTGTTATAGGCTGAGTCGACCCCAGGGCCATAGTGCAGCTAGAAGGTTTAGGTCGATTAAAAAGTAATCCATTGACCTCATCGGGACTTGAACCCGCGATCTTCCGGCTTGTAGCATAGTGCCTCAACCAACTACGCTACTGCTTGCCTCCGGATAAAGAAAGTATACCAGAGAAACGTACGCGATAATGTCTGTCTGTTTAATAAATGAGAAACTAGGTTAAGTTACCGGAAGATAATCCATAGTTACGGAGTCTGTGGTGAAGCAGTGCATGTGGAAGAATGACTAAGGCATTACTAAAGTCAAAATCCCCGAGCAAAATCACACTATAATTTAGGTATCTAATCTATTTTCTAAAAAGCTGAAGTAATTTTTAATAATATCAACCTTGATGCCGGGAACGAAATAACGATTGTCAATAAGTTGTGGCCATCAGGTGCAGTAAATTCTATCCATATACAATTCTTCAAAATATTCAAGGTCATATCTACGTTTAGCGCCAAAAACAGCTTCAGAAACAGCAACCAAAGCTCTTACGCCACGCAATTTAATGCAACATTATCTGTCAGAGCAATATGCAGTATAACTTTCAGGGAAAAAGTTCTAATAATTATAAAAAATCAAGTAATAATTTGGAAGTGGATAAGTAAAATATATATGCATTTACAACTGATACACCTGAAAATCTTCTGGGTGGTGACGCCGTGTAGCCCGGTATGAGTTCATCGATGTTTCGCAGGCATATACTACTTCCATCTTCAGGGTGGAAGAGAGCCAAACAATCAAGCAACACGAAGTAAATAGCCGCCAATATAACCTCATATCCATCCTTAGCAATAAATATGACGAATGAGTTTGACTGCATAGAAAGGGCAAAAAAAGTACGCCGCATTGTGATGTGTAACTGTTTTTATGTCTCTTTGAACTATTCTTAAATCAGGACGCGACCTTGGTCTTATCAGCATACGTATAATCAACATTCTAACGCCCTTCACTCTCTCCTTAAAATTTTAGGCATAAATATCACTGAATGTCATTTTTATAGTATATTTAACCACGTTAACTACGCTTATGACCTTTGTATGGCACATATTTTTAACATAAGTTCTCCTTCAAGTCAAAGAAGTTGCCTCGTTGAAATAATCTTTAGGCAGCTCAGTAGCTTCAGGGAAGTGAAATTCATTCGATGGACACAAAACTGATTCATAAATTCCTGGCCTTTTATAGAATCCTAAGGATTATCACCGTAAAGACTACTGTCTTCTGCAGGACTGCATGTAATGGGAGAAATATTCTGCTCCCATCTTCAGGGTAGAAGAAGAATCATTACGCTTCATTCTTCTAAAATAATAAGAGATGCAGCACTGTCCTCCGAAACGTCTGTAAACTTACACCAGATCACACTGTGTCACATCCCAGAAGACTGTAATCTTTGTAGTTACCGCTGTGATAACCTCAAATTTCGCTATCATTACTCGCCAGAGCCAGAAGAAACAAATCCCACATTTCAGCAACCCATTTCTTCTAGAACCATTTTAAGATTTTGAGATCTATTTTAGTATATTATCTTCTTACCTACCTAGTTCTTCTTAATTGTTTCTTTCTTTCTGGCATTTCCATCAAAACTTTGCATGCTTTCCTCTTCTCTCCCATGTCAGCTACATGCCCTGCCCATCACATCTTCCTTGCTTTCGCCATTCTAATTATATTTCGGAAAGAGTAAAGTCCTCATTGTACAATTTTCTCCAGTCTCTTATTATTTCATCCCTTTCGGTTCCAAATATTCTCCTGAACACCCCGTTCTCAAATAACTTCAGTCTTCGTCCTTCCCTTAATAACAGGGACCAATTTTTACACCCATAGTGGATTGATTTGTTCGGCCTCATAGTATGCACCAGTTTCCGAAATGCCGAATTTGCTACCCACTGAAGTAGGTCAAACTGTGAAGTTTACTGAAATAAAGTTTTTTTTTTTTTTTTTAAACTTTGTGTCGTGTCATGGTCAGCTGCTTGTTCACAGACAAGGCCCTACTCACGACTGAACTGCGAAAATGCCGTCTTACCCAGCGAATTCAAGGAAGTACAGTTGGCAGCTCTAAGCTCGACCTCTAGAAAAGTAATTGTTAATTTTGTTTATTACGCCGTGTAAGAGTACCTGAGTCGATCTCGCTGGCTCCGTAGTCTTGGCAGTACACTGTCTTCGTCCTGTCAAACACTGGGATCGTAGGTTCCAATCCCGCTTCGGGGTATAGTTGTCCCTGTGCTTAATTAATTAAATACTATATCACGATAATGTATAGAGGCGTGGAGGTATAGCTCCAGCATTCTTGGCCTCGGCATTAGATGGAGGTGAGTGGGCAGCTCCACGCCACGGCCGCTTTACCTCTCCGGGGAAGTAGCCCCGGTACCCACAGGATAGGAGGCTGGGTGGGCTCCAGAGTCGGTCTTGACTCTGTGGAGAAGAGAATATTCTTGACCCTGTCGGGATTCCAACCCCGGTCACATATAATGAAACACCGTTTTTAACACTCCGGGGTGATGAGAAGCTAACAAAATGTGTATCTTTTACTCTTCTTGGTTGTTGCACCGTGCAGAATGGTTGCTTAGTTTACTCTTCAACTCTGAAGATAGAGGCAGTTCTTTCTTCCGAATCATCTGTGAACTTATACCGGACTACAAGACGTCATATTCCATTACACTTAATACGGATCTTCACTGCCGGGAGAGCTTCATGAGCCTGTCACTAGAATTCTTTCTCTTGCAATGGGCATGCCCATGACAGTGGCATTCTGAAAATGGCCGTCAGGAGGCACTGAACTTTATGCGGCAGCAAGCAGCGGCGGCCGCGACCGCGACGGCCACTGTGCGCTCACTGATCACTTCTAAACAGTTCTAGTAGCTATGTGGAGGCGAGCGGTATCCAGCTGGCTCGCCAATGCACCGTCGCATCCAGCTACAGAAATTCCTTCACCTCGCGGTTTGCCGATCATTGGGACGACGTTGGATCTGATAGCGGCGGGCGGTGCGCCGAGATTGCATGAGTACGTGGACGCCAGACACCGTCAATTAGGGCCAATATATCGGGAATCTATTGGTCCTGTAAACGGTGTGTTTGTTGCTGACCCGAATGAAATGAGACGTGTGTTTACTCTTGAGGGTAAATATCCTAAACATATATTGCCTGATGCCTGGGTACTCTACAACAAGATGTACGGTTCTAAGCGAGGTCTATTTTTCATGTAAGTATCTATCACTTGTTTTGTATGGTTGTGAAAGATGGTCTCTTTTTTTTTTATTGCTAGTGGGGTGGAACTAAGTTCCTTGTACTGCGGCCACTTCTGGCCTATTGTACCAGCCCCAGATGATAGGTGATGGTGATTGTGGAGCAATTGGTGGAATGAAGATTGGCAGGGGAAACCGAAGTACTTGGAGAAAACCTACCCCAGCGCCACTTTGTGAAAGATGGTCTCTTTTTTTTTATTGCTAGTGGGGTGGAACTAAGTTCCTTGTACTGCGGCCACTTCTGGCCTATTGTACCAGCCCCAGATGATAGGTGATGGTGATTGTGGAGCAATTGGTGGAATGAAGATTGGCAGGGGAAACCGAAGTACTTGGAGAAAACCTACCCCAGCGCCACTTTGTCCACCACAGATCCCACTTGACCAGACGCGGGATCGAACCCGGGCCGCCACGGTGGGACGCCAGTGACTAACCGCTTGAGCTTTGCGCGGCCCAACCGGTCTCTTACTCTGAGGTAAAAGTAAAGTTGTCCCTGTGCTTAACTAATTAAGCACTACGCCATGAAGGCATATGGGGGGGTGGATATATAGATCTACATTTTCTTGACCTCGGCACTAGTTGGAGGTGAGCGGTCAGCTTCACGCCCTGGCCGCTTTACCTCTGGGAAAGAATTCCCGGTACCCATTGTATAGGAGGTTGTGTGGACCACAGAGACGGTCTGGACGACGTGAAAAAGGGAAAATTCTTGACCCTACCGAGACTCGAACTCCGAACTCTCGGTCATCCAGCCCGTAGCCAGTCTCTATACTGACTGAGCTATCCCGCGGAGAGTACAGACCTTAAATGGCATAGCCAGTGCAATCGAAAACATGAGGAAGCTGCGTAAACTTCTCTGTCACAAGTTTGAGAACAATTGATAGGTAAGAACAGCCCCTAACGTGACCATACCTTGTCTCTTTGCGCACGTTTTATGTTCTGAGTTGAAACAAGATCTTACCGGAAAAATCCTGGACCCGCGTCGCTTAGACACGGTAAGTTATCAGCAGGGTGTACCACTACGTGAAGTGCGTTCACCTGTGCAACCAAACAGGAAGTCAGCCAGAAGCTGAGAGGCGGTTGGGAGTCCAGTGATCGGCCTTTGAAATTCTAAAAAAGCAAAATCATCTTCTTAAAAAAACTGTTGAAGAATTTAACAGTTCTGTGCAGAAAAATCTGGAGATGCAGTAGATCATCGAGTTAAAAATTTAATAGGAACAAAATACCTTTCTTAAAATTTTTAATTTAGTAAATGTGTATCGAAGGAAGCTGACAATCAGTGTTCGATTCCCAGCAAAAACAAAAAGTTTCCTTTAGCTACTACATTTAGACATCTCTGGGAAAAATTCACTCCCAGATGTAGCGATACCGGAGGCTCTTTGCTCGAGACAGAGCGGTCGAAGGAAGAGTTCAGCTGACTCCATCTATCGCTGAAGATATGACAGCTCACTGCCTGCCTCAACCTCCCACACTTCTTCATGGCATCATGCTTAATTAAACACAAGGATAAGATTAAATATACCACAAAGCACAATCACTATTTCCTGTGCTTGTTTGAATTAAAGTAATACTGATAGAGATAAGTTAAATCTGTGTCATTGCCAGTAGAGTTTCTAGTCGTGAGTTCTGCATCTACAAGAAAAATGACAATCGTGGCTTATTTTTTTTATTGCTAGTGGGGTGGGACTAAGTTACTTGTACTGCGGCCACTTCTGGCCTATTGTACCAGCCCCAGATGATAGGTGAGGGTGATTGTGGAGCAATTGAAGGAATGCAGATTGGCAGGGGAAACCGAAGTACTCGGAGAAAACCTGCCCCAGCGCCACTTTGTCCACCACAAATCTCACTTGACCAGACCCGGGATCGAACCCGGGCCGCCGCGGTGGGAAGCCAGCGACTAACCGCTTGAGCTATGCCTCAGTCGCGCCTTACTTTATGTTCTAATATTACATACCAGAAAAGAACCGCGATAGCTCAGTCAGTATAGTGACGGGCTACTGGTTGGACGGCACAGGAATTGTTTTTTGATACCCAGCAGGGTTAAGAGATTCTTGTCTTCCTTACAACATCCAGACACGTCCTGAATTCCAGCCTCCTATATAAATGGTTCTCGGGGGCTATTTCCCTTGGGGTAACGTGGCCGGGGCTTGAAGCTGACCGTTCACCTCTATCTAGTGCCAAGGTCAAGGACAGTGGAGCTATACCACCACTCCCCCATATGTCTATATGTCTTCATGGCGTGGTGCTTAATTAAATGAGCACAGGGACAACTTTGCCTTTTACCTTATAGAATCATAAAATTCGCCATAAATTATGTTCTTTTAATGCTTACTGATACTGGAGAGTGTAGAGTTTTATAGTTTATACAGTTCAGCCGCTAGCCACTAGTCCAGACCTAACACTCCGCGCGAGTATGACCAAGGTCAACACCCTTCCTGCTTTTATGGTGGCTCAGACCTCCTTGTAAACAGTGCCAAGCATACTCCATATTTTGGACTTTGAAAATTACGTCAAGAGGAAGACAAAAAATAAAGAATTCTACACACTATCTGCATGTAATACCTTAGATGCTTACACAAGTCAATAAGGGCATTCTAACATAAAAATACATGCAAGAATTGAGGTTTTCACGGCGGTGACTATGAAGGAAGCAGTCTTCAGGGATGTGACACCGTGTAGATGTGGTGTTAACCGACGTTTCGGAGTTGCCACATTCCAGAAGACTGCTTTCTTCATAAAAATACATTCTTAAACTGATTCTTATATGCCGGGATAGCTCAGAAGGTATAAGGACAGGCTGGACTGCCGAGATTCGATTCCCGATAGAGCCAAGGGATTTTTCTCTACTCATAATGTCCAGACCGGCTCTGGGATTCACCCAACCTGCTCCTCAGTAGGTCCTGGGATGTTCTTCCCCGTGGGTAAAGCATCCGGGGAGTGAAGCTGACCTCCATCTAGTGCCGAGGTCAAGAATGTTAGAGCCGTACCTCCACCCCTCCTTACGTCTTTATGATGTGGTGCTAAATTTATTAAGCACAGGGACAACTTTAATTTTAACTTTAAATTGATTGTAACATCCTGATTCTAAACCTAAGTACACATATTTTCCATTGCCTTGTAGTATTTTTTAATAATTGAACCAGCGCATGTCTTCTTTCCCCTTTCGTTTTTCTTCTAAGGTCCTTATAATTTTATTAAACCATAACGTGAGAAAATATTTTATTTTCTTCCTCTTCTTCCCACTTTGGAGCAATGGGCTGATTTTTCAGTTTCATTAAAATTTTACAGACGGTAGGACTCCTTGGACGGGTGATCAGCTCTACCTCAACACAGGACAACACAAACACAGAATAAACACACACACCAAACATCTATGGCCTTGTATGGGATTCGAACCCACGTACCTGCCTTAAGACTGCTCGGCTACCGTGACCGGCAAAATATTTTATTACTGATCGAAAATTATTCAAATTTAAATATCACCATTAACATAAATTGCGTAGTAAGTGGCATATATGCCGCGCCATAGCTCAAGCGGCTAGTCGCATGGCTTCCCACCGCGGCGTTCCGGGTTCAATCCCGGGTCTTGTCAAGTGGGATTTGTGGTGGACAAAATAGTGCTGGGTTTTCTCCGAGTACTTCGGTTTCCCCTGCCAGTCTTCATTCTACCAAATTCTCCATCATCATAATCACCCGGGGCAGGCTACAATAGGCCAATCAGTGGCCGCCGTGCCGAGTGGTCCCAGTTGGACTCCACTTCCCACTAAGCGAATTAAAAAAATTAAGTGGCATATATATCCATATTCAAACAGTGCCGTGTAACATAATGCCTGTACGTGTCACTTTTTTTTTCGTTTTTGTGATCGGTGTACCAGATTTAATAAAAAATCTTATTTCTTACACTCTATCGGATAAAACAGTGGAAATTTGTTTCTCTGTGTTATTATAAAGTAAAGAAATGACAGCAGTTGGAACGTATATACCAAATATGGGCCTCACATAAGTTCTAGAAGAATCCATTTTTTTTACTTTGCACACCTCAGATTCTTCCAGCCGCACAATGGTCCTGGGATCGACTCAGCCTCTAGCAGAAATGAGTACCAGAAATCTTCCTGGGGGGGTAAATGGCGGCCGGCGCGTAAGGCTGACCACCTTACCGACATCTGTGAGCCCATTGCCTAGAGAAAATATGAGAGCCTCGACATCTCACAACCTTATGGGCCTCCATGGCCTCTTACAGGGATATCTTTATCTTTTTTACCTTTAGACCTCAGTATCTTTGACTACAGATGTCTCTGCTGGAGTGTCACAGATTAATGTTCCTTATCTCCTGTTAAATATTCACCATATAATTGTAATCTATGCAGTTTATTTTGTTAAGCAAATGAACATGGTATTTCTATAGCTCATATAACTCCGACAGATGCTTCCTTCTCAATGTGGAGACTCTGGTTCAATCCCGGGTGACTTCGTGTGAAATTCGTGCTGTGTGAAATGTCACTGAACTAGTTTTCTCTCTGAGTTTCTTAGTTTCCCCCCGGGTAATCATTATTCTATAATTGCTGTGCACTCATCAATGGCCGGCGTCTGAGGTATGCGCTAGCCTTGCTGAGGCAGCATATTGTCAGTACCTCGGTATTTAAATTTGTGGTTACGCCCTTGACCCAGCATTTAACTGGTTACAGCAGTGTTCCTCAGCCTTCTTCTATAAATTATCTCTTTTAATAATGTTTTTGAAGTACCCCAGTTGCTTAAAATTTTCAGACACATTTGTTTCCACCTCTGCAACATACTTGTTTAAACAATTTGATCTTAATTTGTTATTTGGAACAAATTGCCTATTAGCAATTAACTTGTCACCGTACAAAAATCTTTAATCAGTTACAACTTAAAACAAAAATTCTGGCATTTCTGTTGTCTTCACGTATCCCCAGACTTTTTTCGCTCGCCCCTAAGGGTACGCGTACCATCGAGCGAGAAACACTTCGGTACAGAGTATGGAAATTCGTTTTTAGGACAACGGCGAAGAAGAAAACGTAAGATGAGGCTACGTACATGATTAAATCAAGACTGATGGGGTGGGAACGTAGCATGAATAAGGCATGTACGAGTACACAGAATCTTGGTTGAAAAATATCAAGTATGCAGGACACATGAAAGATCGTAGGGTACTATTAAAATTAATTTTACAAAAACATTATGTATCTTTGAGCACGGATTCTATAAAAGTATGGGATTTTTGACGACCTAAGCAACTATCAGCTTGTCAAGAAAAGCTATCTGTTGTGTGGTTAACTTTTGGTTTGTTTGTTCAGGAAAAATTTCGTGGTTTATGCAAGTCAGTTAATATTTTCTTGGGGGTGAGGGGGGAAATTCAAGAAAATTATGTTGGACCTGTCATGTGGCTAGGATGGAGCGCACGAAGGTTGCATACGGAAATTGGGTAGGAGAAACGTCCACATGGAAGAGACGGAGAAAAAGATGGAAAGAAAACATCAAGATGGCTGCCAGAGGTACATGTCACTAGACTGAGAGGTGGAACTTGCCCGGAATCGTGTCCAGCCTCGAACTTTGTTATTAACCGCGTTGAACTTTCGTATGCCCTTGTTGATAAGCAAGTTCATGTAACAAAATTATGGGCCTATCTCTTCAAAGAGATCAGGGTGTTAAATTAATATTTAAGGTTTAACTAAATCGTTTTATCTGAAGGTTTTTTATTTGGTGTTGAATGTGGATGGAAATATGGCCGTCAAAGGTGTCGGGTCAGGATTTATGTAGTGATGCTAGCTTATTTCACGCACTATCCAGGCGTGTACTGTAGAGACAAGAAACCCTGTCACGATAGAAGGTAGCTTGGACGAAATTCGAACCAGATTCCTCCTGGTTAGAAGACTGAAGAGTCAGCCCTGCAACGAAATAGCAATACATCTGGCAGGACACCAATACGTGGTGTGTAACACCGCGTTTTCCTTACACTGAAACATCCGGGGTGCCCTATCCGATGTAGTGGCCAGGCTAAGGATTGGACCATCGATGGGTCGGTGTTGAATTCTCGGTAGGAGCGTCCAGACAAATTGTGGGGCACACCCAGCCTCCTATCCAGTGGGTAAAGTAAAAAAGAAGTAAAGGTATCCCTGTGACAGGCCGTGGAGGCCCATAGGATTGTGAAGTGTTGAGGTTCCCACATTTTCTAGACAATCGGCTCATAGATGGCGGCTAAGTTAGCCCTACGCGCCGGCCGCCCTTTACCTCCAATAATATTCCTGGTACTCATTTCTGTTAGAGGCTGAGTCGACCCCAGGGCCATAGTGCTGCTGGAAGTATTAGGTCAATTGAAAAAAGAAAAATCCAATGACCTCATCGGGACTTGAACCGACGACCTTCCGGCTTGTAGCATAGTGCCTCAACCAACTACACTACCGCGTGCCTATCCAGTGGGTACCAGTGCCTTTATCCCTGGAAGTAAAGCGGCTGAGGACATTAAGTTGACCACTCTTCCGCCACCTGGCGCCGAGGTTAAGAATCCTTTAAGCTGTACCACCACTGTCCCGTACGTCTTCGTGGTATGGCGATTAATTAAGCACAAGACACAATTCTATGCCATGTATTCTGAGATATTGACTGCGTCGTGTAGTAAGTCACAGATAAATCGACATCTGTCTTCGAGGTATCGATGAAATATAATATCCGTTTATATTACGATCAGCAAGTCCGATATCAGTGTCTCCATATCCTGTGAACGCGAATGTGAAGTGTGAATAATGCAGTGAACCATCGTAGCTCTTCTTATACTCATGGGAATTGACCTACAGCGGTCAAGGTGACCCCAAACATGTAAAATAATATTAATGCCTTCTACTGTGAAACATCTGAATTTATAAAACAATAGTTAATATTAATACAGCTATTTTAAAGGGGTACGAGGTAGTGTAGTTGGTTGAGGCACTATGCTACAAGCCGGAAGGTTGCGAGTTCGGTTCCCGATTTCAATAGTTGTTTTTAAATTTACCTAACTCTTCCAGCCGCACTGTGGCCTTGGTTCCCCTAAGCTTCTGACAGACATGAGTACCAGGAATCTTCCTGGGTGGTAAAGGGCGGCCGGGGCGTAAGGCTGACAAACTTACCGCCATCTGTGAGCCGAATGTCTAGAGAAAATGTGGGAGCCTCGATGCCTCACAATCCTGTGGGCCTCCACAGCCCGTTACAGAGATAGCTTTACCTTTTACCTTGAGCGTTATTTACAAAAATGTAGAATTATCTTAGACAACTGATTTTGAGGGAGATGAAAAATGCTCGTCTCTCAAGGAAGGGTGTACGGACCTTCAGTTATTCCTCGTTACTATTTCACAGTAAGTAAATTAAGTTGACCCAGGTAATTAATTAATTAATACCATACCATAAAGGCGTATGGGGGAGTGGAGATATAGCTCAACCATTCTTGATCTCGGTACTAGATCGAGGTGAGTGGTCAGCTTCACGTCTTGGCCGCTTTACCCCAGAGGAAAGACCCCCCCCCTGGCATGCATTGTGTAGGCTCCAGGGCCGGTCTGAATGCTGTGGAGTAAAGACAAATCCCTTGCCCCTTTCAGGAATTGAACCCCGGCCGCCCAGCCTAAAACCCGGCGCTATACCGGCTCTATGACGTATAAACACTAAAACTGGTATTAAGGAGATACTTACTCGCTAAATATACTATCTTAATTTGGGGTACTTGTTGTACTCTCCGGTTTATTTCTCGATGTGAACCATGGCTGGCACTTCGAGATACTCTTTGCCTGCTTCCTTTGAATTCATACGGCTGAGTATGCATGATACTGTGTGATCTCTCGTTTGAAACACCGCTGGCTGTTACTCCTGTAACACAATGCCATGAATTTGTATTTTTTTAAATTATATTTGTAGAATTCAATGCAAGTTTATGTTGTAATCTCAATGTTCCTATTGTGAGTGCAGACATCCACGTAATTTATGGCCTTAACGCTGACTGTTGAAAGCTGACAGAGATAAAAATGAATACAATTGAATGCAAGCCAGAAACTTGTTCTCTAATTTCGCAGGTCTTATTTCTGTTCTTTGTATCGGCGTGAATGTTTGTATTGTTGGCAGCCTTTTTGTATTATTTTTTATTCTCTATCCCCCCCCCCCTTTCCTACAACCCTATTAGGTCTTCGTCTCGTTTTCCGGAACCTCCGTTCCAGCGCCTTCGGCGGTCAAATATTGGCTTTCGTTAATTTTCCATTTTTAGGTTTTTTTTTCTGTACTGTCAAGACTCCTGACTTTTTGTTTACCTTGGCACCTTCTGTCTTGCAGCATATCAAAGAATAGAAGTAAAAAGGTAAGCGAAACTGATTGGAAATTTGGGAAAATATGGAATTCCCCATCTCCAAGCATCATTAAGCCTGGGGCCACACGAGCGGACAAAAAGCGTCCCTTGTAACGAACGTCGTGACGTCCGTTGTAGAAATAAACAAGAGAGTCGAATGCTACGCTTTCTTTTGGCTCCATTTCAGACAAAAAACTACGCACCACACCTACGTCCGTCATAAAGTACGTTCTTTGCAACGGACGTACTTCGTGCGCTCGTGTGGCCCCAGCCTAACATGTACTCGTATGTGAGGAACGACGAACGAACTCAATGCTATTCTTAACCACGGCAGGAGAGCAAAAGTTAGTGGTTAGCTTTACGCTTCGGCTCCTTTTCCTTGTTAACTGACATGTCAGTTCGTACAGGAATTGCACAGTTTTGCAGACATGTTGATGTTTAATATATTAGCACAGTTTTACAGAGTGACGTTGATTTTTGCAGTGTCCTTGTTTCGCAATCGATTTCACGACTTTAAGCTTTGACTGTTGGCAGGAACGGTGAGGAATGGCTACATTTCCGACGTATCATGAACAGACACTGGCTAATGCCAGGCAGTGGATACGAAGTGATTGGACCGTGCGACTTCGTGGCCACCGAACTCGTTGACCGATGGACGAGGAAGTACAACGGCCGGGAAGTCATCGGCTTGGAGAGCGAGTTGTACCGATGGGCTATCAAGAGTGAGTTTCTTATTAAACGCAGATATATTGTGCTCTCATGCCATGGTAGACACCAGGGCCTTCTTCAAAAGGGTGGTGCAGCCAATTTTCTAAGTAGACAGCCGGTGGGCCGCGCCGTAGCTCAAGCGGTTAGTCGCTGGCTTCCCACCGTGGCGGTCCGGGTTCGATCCCGGGTCTGGTCAAGTGGGATTTGTGGTGGACAAAGTGGCGCTGGGGCAGGTTTTCTCCTAGTACTTCGGTTTCCCTTGCAATCTTCATTCCACCAATTGCTCCACAATCACCCTCACCTATCATCTGGGGCTGGTACAATAGGCCAGAAGTGGCCACAGTACAAGGGCCTAGCAATAAAAAAAAAAGTAGACAGCCAGTTTTCCAAGAGGAGCAGCCAGTTTTCTAATTGGGGCAGCTTTCCAAGTGGGGCAGCCAGTGTTCCAAGTGGGACAGCCACCCGCCATGGTGGGAAGCCAGCGACTGACTGCTTGAGCTATGGCACAGCCATACATGGACCCTTAGATAAAGTGATACATAGAACAAACCAAACTAAGCCAAAATCAAAATGGCTTGATAAAAATTGGTGCACAATACCAAATTATTAAAGTTGTTATTACGGGACAGACTGGCATGAAATAATGTATGGTTTTCAAATTCCAGTTTTCTAGAGTTTATATGAATGTGTTTAGAAATGTTTACTTCTACATGCACCTATTTCCTGTAGCTGAGAATAAACTGTTTTCACAACCTTATGGCAAAGCACCTTTATGTTTTGCAGTAACAGTAGCAGTGCTGATGGGAGACAAATATTCGAAGAATCAGCAGCGAATTGAAGACATGGTGGAACATTTCACATCCTTTATTCGCCTCATTTTCCAGGAAAGTGCACGCTTGTCCCTCATCCCAGCAACAGTCGCAGAGTTCCTTAAAATTCCAGCATGGAGGAATTTTGTTTCAGCTGTTGATGAAGCCCTTGCCGTAGGTGAGAAGTTCAGCAGTTTTACATATTTCTGTACTGATATGTGTAATACTGGAACACACCTGTTCGTCTTTTCTATTTGTGGGAAGAGAAATAATTTCGTAAATGTAAAGCAAAAATAATTGTGTTGCATTTTTACATAATAAGCAAAATTTGTAATTGATTACCAGTTTTATATTTAAAATTTGAAGTTCTCAAGATAGTGGCTATGAAGATTATAGTCATCTGGGATGTGACGCCTTGCAGTTTGGTACATAGGTACTACTGTTTCAGATGAATCATCTGCCTTCATCTTCAGGGTACAAACCCACTGAAGAGAAAGGCAGCAGTTTCTCTGAAACGTTTTTAGATCTGACCTCTGGCTTATGTGCCACTAGATGTGTTACTGGAAGCAGCAGCATATTGCTTGCAGCGTATTGTCGGAAGAAGGGAGGGTAATGCGCTTAAGGAAGGTCACGTTATATATGACCAACAGACACTACAATCCTTATCTCAGTTTACTTGACCTCACCCACTTCACAGAGTATTAAGAATGGTTGGCCAAGTCTGAAAACGTGGATGGTAAAAGATTACATGGCCAGATCTAAAACACAAACACTAAAAGACAATATGGTGTCACAACTTAGAAGTACACAATCTGAACAATAACCACTGTGTATTTAGCATCTCTTATTCACAGTCTTATGTGCAACACCACTCCCCACAGAACTTGTTAACTTTGAAAGTGTTAAAGGTTTAAAAGCTCACTACATGTTTAGGCCAATGTGGCCTTCATCAGGTGTTAAAATCTTTTTGATGAGGAAAGTGCTGTCTTCTGTTGTTAATAAATATGCAAGTCTCTTTGATGTGCTCGTGTGTTTGTAACATGTATGAATTTCCTCTTAGGATTCATGTATGTGAAGTTTTCTATATGTCATGTGATTACCTATTTGTGTACTTACTGAGTTGGTGCAGTGTGTTCTTCCTTTCTGTGCGTTTTGCTGTGTGTATGTATAACAAGAAGAACCAGTCAACTCAGCAGAACATTCAGGAACAAGACACAGCATACTTAAGATTTTACTGTACAGAGGGATGTAATTTGGTATGGTTCATGTGTGTTTTGGGATATGTTAATGTAACTGTATAGCATTTTCCTCCAGCATGTGAGTAATCTCTTTACTGACTGGGCTGTCCTGCTTTGTACAAACTTCTCCAGTGAAATATAAATGGAAGTTTTAATGTGTTTCATCTGATGTAGTTTTTGGAAAGGTATCATAAAGAGAAATATTTTATGCTTGCAGCAAACAGTCTGATCTCTGTGCTTATGCCTGAATGTCAGAATGGTGAAGGATTACTGGGTGCCCTGTTGGCAGAGGAAATAGAACACAACGATGTTGTCCGCATTATGGTTGATCTCTGCATAGCAGCAGGAGACACAGTAAGTGACTGGCAGTGACAGATTTAGGGCTAAACAGCTAATTGGGATCATTTATGGACTTGCTTGCTTACCAGGCTGTACATAGTAATTATTTTTGGACTTCTGGCTTGACTGCATATTAGACTAGTAAATATCTCTATATAACTGTATTTTATAGACTAATTTACTCATTTTAAAAGAAATTAAGCAATCATAAACTCTGCAATTATGAAATTTGAGGGCTGTCTGTACCTTTCTTTTGCAGTGAATTATTTCTAAAGATATTTTTGCTGTAAAAGATAATTTTTGATGTGTGGTATTTTATGAGGAATATCAAGATTCTCAGAACTCTTAGCTACATGTACGTCAAATTTCATAACTGTAGAGCTTAAGTTACTTACAGATGTATGTTTAAATTTTATGAGTGATTAAGTGAATTTTTGTTTCAAAGATATTAATGCCATTTAATATCTGATTACTATTATTCTAGGTATATTTTAATATCTTTTGGTTGTACTGTTTGTCGGAGTAGGAGAACATTTTGACACTCAGTACAAAATATTTAATGTCAATGGTGTCTTGAAGGAGAATGAATCCTTAGAGATGAAAATAATTTCACATAGACCATTTTCGTCTGGTTTGTTCCATTTATCTCAAAATTGTCAGTCCATTGGGATATAAATATGATATAGATAGATATAGATATCATATAGAATTGCAGCATAATATTTATCAAAATTGTAATATTCCTCTTTCAAACAACTTGCCTTATTTCATACCTTTTTTGCCTTTGCATAACTGTTCTCCCTGTTTCTCTTACTCATGGTCTGTTCCAACAGATTGCCAGCAGCATACAATGGATGATGTATTTGCTTGCCAGAAATCCAGACTTGCAAGATGAATTGAATGCAGAGTTGCTGGAAGTGCACAGACCTGAAGACATTGTACAACTTCCCCTGGTGCGTGGTACGATGAGGGAAGCTCTCCGTCTTTATCCTGTTGCTCCATTCCTCTCACGATATATGCCTGAGGACAGCATGATTGGAGGTTATCGTGTTCCATCAGGGGTTAGTATAAGCACTTTATATGTACCATAGTTTTCTTTCACCAACTTCCATTATTCTACACAAGAGAAGACTCCAGAAATACAATTTATTTCTATTAGGCACTTGACAAACTTCAGTCACCCATAGTCCTGCAGCATTCTTCAGGGAAGTGTTATTAAAATATTAAGAACAAGGAACAACTGTTCTATGCTACTGAATTTGTTTCTTGCACCTCACATATGATAATAAATATTTTGTTTAATTCTTTAAAAACTGAATCTTGAAGGACCCGAAGGCACTGTCAGAATGAGTTATTTTTCACAGTAAGCTTGTGAGAGTCATGATCCAAAGAAAAATAAAGATTTGACATGCCTCCACACTTTGCAGGGGCATTCAAAGTGGAAAACACTGGGTGTATTCATATTTCATGAAGAACTTGTGACAATGCACAAGTACTCCACACTCAAAAAGAGGTTAAGTTTTTAATGGAACAGAAGAGACTATATTTACATTCCCTAGATCCTTCATAGTGCCAAGCCAAGGATGTCAACAGTGTTATACGATTGCAATACTTAACACTAATACAAATGTAATTACTTAGCTGTTACAGCTATTTACAGAATCTTGTTAGAATATTGTATTATACAGAGAAAAATAATGATACCAAAGAAATATTTTCTTCATACATATTGACAGTTTTCAAGTAAAGAAATTCTTCTACAAACTGAGAATTAGAATTAGGCTTATATTTTATTTACATTTACATTTACGTATACATTTACAGAGTGTGGCTAAGCCCCAGAGATGTAAGACCTGTAAACCAAGACTAAAAGTCTGGCTGCAATTACTTGACAGAGACAAGTGGGCAGTCACATTTCTGAGGCATTTTAAAGTATATGAGCATTGACGATGTAAACATAATTCACTACTGAAATATTTATGGAACTAGTTTCAGATCTTCTTTATTTTTCCATTAGGACCTCATCTTACTATCAATATACACAAGTGGCCATGATGCTAGGAATTTCCCAGAGCCAGATAGGTTCTGGCCCCAGCGTTGGACCCGTGATGCTGATGGTAACTACAAGGGTGTCTCTAACCCATTTGCTTCTTTGCCATTTGCTATGGGTGCCAGATCCTGCATTGGACGCAGAATTGCAGAAACACAACTCACACTCACTGTGGCAAAGGTGAAGCATACTAATAAAAAGAACAGTAAAATTTTACCTCTACATTTAACACTATTAGTGGTGAGACATAGGTTTCAGCTCATCTTGAATACATAAATAAACTGAGGAAGTAATAGAGTGACATCTGCTAATATTAATGTGTGACCTTTCTGCAAAGTGCATAAAAGGAACTCATAATGGGGAGTAGAAATCTGCCCATCTACATTTTGTTTCAGAAATCATGAGATGCTTACCATAATATTTTACATTACAAGAAGTTCTCATTCAAATGTAGGTAATTGTGACTGATACCAATCAGTTGTGTTCCCTGCTTTACATGAAGCCAAAACCGAACTGTATCAGATTTCTCAAAAATGGGTAGTCATAAAAAGAATTTAACACATGATGTAATATATATGTTTCATTTAAGATCTACAGCTTTTATACGAACGATTTTTTTATGGTGAGTATTTAATGAAAAAAAAATCCCAACTTCATGTAGTTTGCTGTTTGTAATGTGATTCGCTTTGCAATAATAGACTTTTATCTGCATTCACTGAACACCAGTGTCAGTGCAGTATTCTAAGTTTTGTTAGGTTTTATAATTTTTGTTAGGAACATTGATTCAATTTCTATTTAACAAGAAATGTGAGAACTACTTGTAGAAATTCTGGTATAGAAGTTGATAAACATTAAACTAAAATCATGAAAGTCTGGTTCTTATATAACTGAAAACATAACCACATATATGTGTTCTGACTATAATTCAGCTAATGACCAACAGGAAGATCGCCATTGTTTACTTTAGGAAGCAACTGAACCTAAAAAATACTCTGTTTTGACAATTTGCTGAATTTTTAATGCTAAAAAAAGTGGCATATATGATTATTGAAGGGTTCCAAAATTTGTATTTTCTTCTTATTATATACAGTATCATATGAAGTTGCAGCAAAGTGTGACAAATACTAAAACCTGCCTAAAGATTCACAAAAATGTGTTATACAACACTGCAGATTAGTTACAGAAATTTTTCAGCAAATTCAGGAGTAATTAGATTGGAATTTGTGCATAAAGTGTAAAAAAAATTACTGTTTTAATTTCTGGGATTTTAAGCCCCATAAATCACATAAAAATGCTTCCAAAAATATAAATTCTATATTCTCTTATCAGTTTGCATGTTTTGAGATATTTTAAATATATTTGGTTATTCTGTTGTTACAGGTAATACAAAAATTCAAGCTGGAGCTGATAGAAAAGAAACCAGTTGATATGATGTTACGTCTTGTAGCAGTGCCATCACGCCCTGTTAGACTCTGGCTTACAGAACGATGAAAGTTTTAAAACAGACTCAGCTGGCTAGAACTGTACGAGTATAAACCAAAGTTACCACAATCTGCATCCAGCTGTTTGAGAATAGCAGTTTATTTCAGAGAGAAAAATTTCAAAGGGATTCTAAAAAGTGCTCTTGTCTGCTTTTTTAAATTTTAAATGTGGTCAGTTTCATGAACAATTGGTCACTATTTGTGATATTGATTTGATACTCATAAAATGCTTTATACAGTATATACAACAGAAGTCATGGTGAATGTACATGTATTATAGATCTTTAATAGAAAGAATTATACATATATATTTTATTTAATAGCTGTAGGAAATATTTTCTTACACAATATAGTTTTTATAAATAAGTACAAAGAAATCTATAGGCTTCTGGGAGGGACACATGCTCTTCGTATCAACTTCATCGAGTATGTTCAGACCCACAGCACAACAAACAAGCCCAGAGGCCAACAGATCACAAACAAAAGGCCCAAAATCACAGCCAGTGTTGTAAATGCTCCATGTAGCAGCCTCCGTAGTCTAGGGGTAACGTTCCCACCTCATGACTCAAGGTACGCGGGTTCAAAAACCCGGCGGAGGTCATGGAATTTTTAAGGGCGGAAAAATTCAGGGAACAAGTCCTCCGGGAGGGACTTTAAGCCGTGGGTCCCGTGTCGTAGATTTACGCCACGTAAAAGAACCTCATGTCTCTAGGAGACCTCTGAGCAAAATTAGGCCAAGTTTCCCACCCAAGCAGTTTCCAATTCCTCCGGTAGATTGGGGGAAGTATCAGGTACAACTGCCAGAGGAGGGGGGGGCCTCTCTGACAGAAAGGGACTAAAGTATTAGATACCACTGCCAAGTAGAGGGTAGAAACCTTGCTGGCAGATAGGGACTTGGAACCCCTGCCAGAGGAGGGACAACCTCGCTGACAGAAAGGGACTAACTATTAGATACCACTGCTAGTAAGAGGTTGGAACCTCACTGGCAGAAAGGGGCTGATAGTAAGCACCAGAACCGGTAGGGTATGGAGACAGTAGAAATTAAAGGGGGACGCACAATGGACCAGTAACCGGTCTAAGTGCATGGGGAAACCCACCCCCTCAATACGGAATACGGAAATACTCCAAGTTGTTACACACACATTCCTGGCACCTCCATGAAAATAATGAACTAAGGTTCCTTTCCAGAAATAACAGCAAATCTTGAATACCAACAGAAATGTGTGCCACCATTTTCTCATTATTTTTCACATGACTATCGTGCAAGACCACTGATTTCAATATGTAATGCTTCTGAGACATTGAACGCAAGAAATGTGACTGAATGTTTAATAGAGTGGCAGATTCTTAGGATTAAAGTCATTGGGCACATAATATATAACCTTGCTTTTTGGTAGCTATTCAATAATATGTGAGTATTAGGGCAGTGTTGTGCAGAAAGTGTAATATATATAGGTTAATGGCCTGTCAACTATGCCATAAGTCCGAATGTGTGTAGAAAACTCGCTGTGAGCACCATGCGTCCTTCCAACCAGACCAGCCTAACAGTTAGTGGCAGGCTCTCAGGTAATCTCCATGCTGTATCATTCAGCTGTATTCACATCAAAGTCCCACTCTATTATGAGATATTCAAACAAGCTATGCAAGAAATGTTAAGTGTAACAATGATCACATCACAAGAATAACCGTTTTTACTTCAGTAATGATTCTTTTTGTTAAATGGAAGGCGACCCCTTCTCAACCTCAGAACAATGTCACCAGTTCATATGTTAAAAAGTATTTTGTGAGATGTACATCCATTTTAAAAGTCATCCTATATGTGACTTCATAATTTTCATTCCTTCAGTATGCAACAATTTGACAAAATTGTGAAAACTTTGGCCATTATATACACAGCATTATTCCATATTGTATGAAGGAAGTTGGGGAGGGCACGAGTGCGCATTTCACAGTGTTCGACTAGGTTCATTATATATTAGGTAATAAATGAATTTAAAGTACATGCCAAGTTTTAGCCATTCATACAGGAAGCTGCCAACTCCTTACAAACTTGAACAATCCACATGCCACCATTCCAGACAGTTTTCACGCTGGATCCAGTCACCCTCAGAAGTCTCTCCACATCCATACAAGCAGCTGATGAAGATGTTGAGATAGATGGCATCGGAAGGCTCAGTTTTCTCCTTGCCCTATTTTTTGACTTCAGACCTCCAGATATTTTTCGTGCTGCTTCCAGTACTTTCAGTTACCACTCTTCCCTTCCTTTCATTTTACTTTCTTCTCTTTTTATTTACTTTTGATAAACTTTTTTATGATGTTCCAGGCAAAATTTCTGACTCTTGAGATTTTCTCTTGCATTATTTGCCTTCCACAGAAGCTTTTTGCGGTGGGTTTAATTTCATCTATGCTAGTGCAAGTATTACTTTCTGGTAGTAGCTATATTATCGGGTGTTGGTAGAGAAGCAGTTGTAGGCAGATGAAGGCCATCGACACAAAGGGGAGAGCCAATATTTGAATGCTCATTTTCGGTCCTTTCCAAAGTTTCATCGGGCATCTTATCTTGGCTAGTGATCTCAGGTGGACTTAATCTGATATATTTAGACTGTAAGGGTAAATTCCAGTAGCTGCAAAAGCATGTTCGGCCCTGATAACCAGTGCTGCATCCATGCTCTTGGTCACCCTCCTCATGTGCACTCTTTGCCCCTTCTGATGTATTTCATGAAATCAGCCCTGAGTGGCAACACACTTCAGATCCACAGCTTACCACTGTGAGGTTAGAGACTATATGAATCAAACTTTACATTGTATGATAATATGATTTCCTGTAATACTGCATGTTTCAGTGTCAAAGCTAATCTAATTCTCCCAGAATATAACAAAGGAAATCAGGGAGGAAAAAACCCTGAAATTTACATCATACATACACACATGAAATCTTTACAACAATTGTGTCACAATTCTTTGTAGCAGCAGACCAGCCCTGAATAGCTACACTTTGACACTCTTCCACCTCAAGCTGCCAGCAGGTGAAAAACTGTCCTCAACACTGTTACATGCCTCGCACTTTTTGACACTTGCCCAGTGGGTCTAATAAAACAAAAAATGTTTGAAGAATGATGTTTTGTTAACATAAAAAGATTGAATAACTGATAAATGTATAAGTAAGAACATGAAATATATTTCATAAAATATTCACCATCATTGGAAATTTAATGTCTTAAGTTTCAGTTAGTAAAAATTCCCCTGTATATTACGGAACCCTAGCTTTCATTATTGGCTTCATGTGAGCGTGCCACTGGACCCTGTTTTGAACCAGATCAATCCAGTCCACATCTACATATCCCATTTCCTTAAAGTCTTTAGTATAATCCTACCATATGCTTGGGTCCTTAGGTCTTTCCAAAGAATCTGTTCAAACTTAAGTCCTAACTAATATTACATAAAATCCTTTCTCATGCCATGTGCAGCATTTTGGCGCATATATTATCTACCATTAATAGCTAACGTTGATTGTGCTCACGATATATCAACCGGTTTTCGTACCGCAAAGTAGTATGATATGAAGGTTGATATTTTCCGATTTCCATTTTCAAGTTAACAGAAGCATTAAAATTTTGCGCCTAGATTCTATGTAACGTGCCGGGATAACAAAATATTTTGAGAGCTTTTCAACAAAGTTTATCACATCAACGGAACTACAATTTCCATCTTTCTGTACACGGACGAACCGGTGCTGTCATCTATTGGCAGTAGGCGGTAATAGTTACCTAGAAGGCAAATGGTATTAAGGGTTATAGGGGAAAGTTTTTATTGTAGAAAAAATATTGTAAATACAAAAAGGCCTAGGCAATACCTATCCGGCCTTCTGTAGTACATGCTTATTAATATCGTATTCTATAATAGCGGTAACCCCGCGATTCTTAATATAAATCTTAACTTAAAGCTGAGATTCATAGGTTTTTTTTTCTTCCTATGACTCCCAGAGCACAAAGGAACTTCTGCCATCTCTACGCCTTCGGATGGAACTAGATAGTCAGAACCAATCACAATACAGCTATTGCAATATATCGAATCGCATATGTGGCCTCTAATACGAATCCTTTCGGATGACAAGACGGGTCTCTATCCTTTCTCACTTGTCACAGTCAATTACTTTCTATATTTCGTCCTTCCACCTCTAAACTACATGTCACAACCTTTACAACTATACATATATACTGCACATGTCTTTATTGTCAATATTTATAAGCCCCCTGTCAGTCCACAACAGATCTGTCTTATTTTCATTCGCTCACGCTAGACCGATAATTTAGTCACCTCAACGATCATACACAGTGTAATCTTCACCGCCGCAAAATTTTAGCCTCGCTTTTTGTTGGGTTTCGCCTTATCCAGTATTCCGAACATTTGCATTTTCACGATCTTCTGTGGCTTCTGGTTGCTGGCCGCTCTACGCCTTGGGATATTGCTGTTGTTGCGGGGAACCTTGTTTTCTAAGCGCTCCACTTTCGAAACTTAGGTATTTGCCGCAAATCCCAAGGCAAGCATACGACATTTCAGACACAAATAATGCTCTGTGGACGGTACATTTCATCTTAGAGCTTAATCGCTCACTTTTCAATGAAGTACATGCTCTAATAAATGTTGTGAAGGCATTGGCTTCGAAAATTTATGTATCTAATCCTCTTACTGAAAATTATACAGATGTTCTACATACTCACGAAGGGGTTCTTCGTCCGTTCAATATGAGATGACACTCAACTGATCTAACTCTCTTGACATAATATTTCATTTCTTTTGTTCCAGCTCTCACACTGCGTCTCAATCGCATCCAGACCTCGCTGCAGCGTTCTAAGAACATACCCTTCTTTGCTCTCAGTCGAATATACATAGGTGTCAGCAGCAAACACCTAGATATACACTAGTATTTTTGAGGGGGGAGGGGAGGTTCATTTATATACATACGTTGTACAATGCATGGCACCCCTTTTCTCTTGGTGTAAACGTTTTGCCTTTGACCGAAACTCTGAATTTTCTCGTGGCACTAACAGACTTCATTATACGTACTAACGGAAGTTTTAATTTGGACTTATACGCACTGTTGTATGTTGTATGGGCTGTAGAGAAATCTCTACTGTGTCTTATAGCCGCCCACCTGTAAATTTACGGCCATGAAATTCATTATTGCCTACAGGTACCGAACCTTACCGCCATCTTTGAGTCAATTGTCTAGATAGTGTGGGACCCTCAACGTCTCACAACCCTATGGGCCTTCACGGCCTGGTACAGGGATAGCTTTACTTTTACTTACCGAATTCTACATTGATGGCACACATCAGGACCAAGTTCATTGTGCTGACTCCCTGCAAACAGCCGCTCAGTGCCCAAAGAAATTGCCATTTCATGGAACCTGCAACCTCACTGCATTGTTTTCACAGAAGTCATTGGCCTTTCTTCTCAACTACACGACTCCTGCACTATCTTCCCGGGCCTCATCATGTGGGATTTGTGGTGGACACAATGTGGTGCTTGGACAGATTTTCTCCAAATACTTCGATTTCCCCTGCCAATCTTCGTTCCACCAACTGCTCTACAATCACCATCATCTAGGATTGGTGCAATAAGCTACAACTAGCCAAAGTACCAAATGGTCTCTCACTCCAATAAAAATAATAATAAAAGAATCCTGTCCACACCACGCCCCCTTGGCTCCATTTCTCCCAACATCCATCTAAATATTCTATTTGTATCCCCAACAGATCCTTCAATTTATCCTACCAAAATACCCTTTGTATTCCTCTCCTGTGACTAACATGCCCTTGGTTCTTTACTGTTGTTATCTTCAAGTAATTGAATTTCAATCGAGAATTGTGTGGGAAATTGTTTTCTGATACACATGTGTCTTGTTTATGTGTAGGTAAGAATGAAGAGGCATTACTTTATAATTGACTCGCAAAGTTCAGGCTATCCACCTCAGTGTGGAGCAGAATCCGTATCAGGATTGAATGTGGGTACGACTATTTATGTAATTTCTCTACCTGTTTCATTTTTGTTACATTGTTATTCACTTCTGTTGTTATAGGTGTATTCTTTCTCTTGCTTTTGCCATATAATGCTACCTGTACTGAACTGGTGAACATGAACATAAGATTTTCAATAGTAATTGCATTTCTTTAACATATATTATTAATTTTTGCTATATAATTGTATCCAGTACTGAACTGGAAGATGAATAGATACCAGATTTTCAGCATTCATTATATTTCTTTAAGATATGTTATTATTTCCTCCATATTATTCTACCCAGTACTGAACTGGTGAAGACGAATATATCAGATTTCCTTATTCCATTAAATGCAGTCTTAATCTTGTTGACTAGAGTGTATTTCACATTCTTGAATTCCATCATTCTAGTGAAAATATTAAATTGGAACATGAGTATTGTTGCTTACAATACATGATTTATAATATTTAAATGTAACGGAAAAACTGTGTTCTGTATGGCTTTCAAGTGTAAGTTATGAGGAAATAATGGGGTTTAATACATGTATCTCTGATGGAAACAGAATTATCTTTCAAGTTTCCCCTCCCTCAGCTTTCCTAAATACAAGTATTCCATGTATGTTACAGTTCACAATGTTCAGTGCCTTTGGTTAAAGAGGTGTTTCATGTGCAAGAAATGTTATGACTTTCCAGGCACTGGTGACAAACTTTCTCCAGATAAATACGTAATTTGCAACGTAATCTCTTGTACTCCAGAGCTGCAGAGGCTCCTATTCCGTTGTTATGTTTTTTTTTAAAAGGGTGGGGACCAAGTTTAATGGCACTTCACTCAAATCGAACCCAAAGGATGTGAGTGAAGTGATACTGAACTTACTCATGGAGCTGAGCCCTTCTTGAGAACCCGCCAATTGTGCAGCCACTCAAGAATTTTTCAGCCTTTTATGGAACCTGAAGGTTCACTACTGTGTTCACAAGAGCCTTCCACTGGTCCCTATCATGAGCCAGATCAATCCAATCCATACCATACCATCCTTTTTCTCTAGGATACATTTTAATATTGTCCACCCACCAACACCTTGGACTTCGCAGTAGCCTCTTTCCTTCTGGCTTTCCCACCAATATCCTATATGCATTCCTCGCCTCCCCCATTCGTGCTACATGCCATGCCAACTTCATCCTCCTTGACTAATGATATTAAACACAGTTAAAAAATAGAAATAGGTTGGGGGGGGTACCTTTGTAGTACAAGAGATCTGGTTGTAAAAGTATTTATTGCTATTCTAGCGAACAAGGCATTGTTTGGGGGGGGAGCACTCAAAATAGCATACTTTCTTACCGATTGTACTCTCGGCCCTGTCGGTCATTTTAAATTTAGTTAATGTAGCATGTAGAGATGGCAGCAGCATATCACCATGGTGTCATGGCGGCCATCTTGCCCACGAGAAACATGGGAGTTTCACGGGGCAGCTATGAACCGGCAGGGAAATCTCTAGTAGCGAATAATAGTGCTTCTTTATTGTTTTTTCTTGTCAGTTCAGTTCGGGGAATATTTCTGTCGGTTTGGTGTGTGTTGGACGATTCATATTGGGTATCATTATCACCATAGCGAAGAAAATACGTGCTGTCAGAAACGTGATGATTTTTGAGCTGATTTTATAGCTATATAAAGAAACAAGAATCAACAAGTTGTTACAAACCATTTGTCCATCGTGATAGGTACGTATTAGATCAGAATTTTTTTCGTAATATATGTAGAATGTACGAAAATGGGAAGAAAAAGTTATTTTCATTTACGTCCCTTAGCCTTTATATTTAGTTATTTATCCATCCATTCAAATATTTATTTTGCGAATGAATCAGTGACATGTGTAGATTGTTGGTTCTGAAATAAACCTGGCTGGTGAAAATGCAACCTTCTACCGATGTGGAGCAGTTCGTATTTGAGCCTTTTCACAATACCATGGAAAAATACATTTAGCGAATTTAATTGCGGAAGAAGAAAAGGTAGATTCGTATGAAACTGGATATTAACGGTACAGCATTGAATGACGGTTAAACTTGATTTTCGTTCTCGTACAATAGTAACAACATGGGGGATGGACGAAGTGGGGGTTGTTAACATGAACACACACATGCCCCCCGAAAGTTCTCACAGACAAGTCGTTTGGACGATTAGACGATACCCACAAGAAGAATGGGATTTAACTAAATGTTATTCAGGTTTCCCTATTTTCATTTTTTTAATTTTGATATGAAATTGTAACATACCATGCAGTGCAGGGGTTTAGCTTAGTGGTAGACACCTGATGATGGACGTTAAAAGTTACGATTCCAGCTGTCAGAGGTCCGAAACGCAAGTTTCGAATCGTAAGCTCTTAAATTCGAAGTGTTGGTATGATGTTTGTTTATTTAATTGGCTTATAAGTCGACAAATGATAGGTATGACTGCATATCAAAACAAGATCTCACCCACAACTAGGAATACACAACAAATTGATAAATTATAACCAAATAAAATGAACATCAGTATAATAAATGTAATAGTTAATAAACAAGAAAGTAGGTGTAAAGTTGTCCCTGTGCTAAATGAAGCATCACGCGATGAAGACGTACTGGGGAGTGAAGACAAAACTCCACATATTCTGAACCTCGGCACTAGATGCAAGTGAGTGGTCAGCAACTGTACCCCCAGTGAAACAGCCCGTGATACCTGTTGAGCAGGCCGCAAAGTGGGCCCCAAATCTGGTCTTAACACAGTGGAGAAAGAAAATAATAGTCTCTTGCCCCCGCTGGTGTTGAACCACAATTCCTCTGTTGTCCAGCCCATAGCCTCGTCACTATACCGACTTTAGTAAACGAAATAATCACAACAGTACAGTAGGCCATGTCTTATGTTCAGGGAATTTGGTTGAAAAATGCACAAAAATCTCCAAATGACGTCATTCGTTCACTGCATTCTGGCTTGGCTGGAAAGCGTTTAACTCGTTCTAACAAACAGTTTCAGTTAGATATGCAGACCATTCGGTTTTGAGGGATAATTGGCTCTAATTGTCTGATTTATTATTTTAAAATATTGCTGATTCACTGTCAATCTAAGCACGGAGAAAGCTAGTGCAAACCCCTCTTTCTATGGTTTTACTATTATTACAAAGAAATTAATTCACGCTATTGAGTGAAACTACCTGTTGAACATAATACAAACTCTTGGACATTTTATTATTTCTTTATGTTACACTTTTTTTTTTGTATGAACTGGTCATTAGACAGTTGTGCGGCATTGATTTGTAGTTATTTAACACCAATATTTAAACTACATGGATTTCTAGTATCGATTGACCAAGAAAGTTGGCTGAATCAGCAGTGTATTTGACCTGTATTTTGGGAGCCCACGGTTTGAATCTCGATCTAGAGGTTTTCCGTGATTTTCCTCCATCCTCCAAGCAAGTGCCGGAATGGTGCCCCGAAATAGGCTACGGTTGTTTTTCATCCACATTCTTTCCATTTGTTAAACATCCTGAACTATTAACAGTGATTTTAAATAAACTATACATAAAAGTTATAAGTATCAGATTTAATGAAAAGATAATAGTGAATGGTAGGGTCCATCAAAATATTTCTTGACCAAATGAATATAACTATTAACTTTTCAAGTAATATTATATATTATGGATCATTCTTAGCTGGTAAGCCTTTTCACAATCTTGGTATGTCACTCAGGTATAAACACATCATGCAATTTGTGAAGTGCTGACCAGTAAGAAGCGTTTCTCAGACATCTTGTGCCCTGTTTCAGCCACACCCATGTCAGAGGAAAAGGTAGAGCTGACCCGAGTGGGCAGTTTGTGCAGTCCAGACCCACAAATCCAGCTGCTAGATGCCTGGACATCCCGGGACTTCTCCACATTCTGCAACCTCCTGGAGAAGCCAGGTGTGTCAGCTGACCACTGGTATGATGACCCCCATCTTGCCACATGCCTGTACCTGACCAGCAAGGAGGAGGATGGGGCTGAGTATGCTAGAGCTCTTCTTCAAGCTCGTGCTGAACCAAACAACATGAACGGCATACGTATGAAAGCACCCATCCACGTTGCAGCTGCAGCTGCAAATGTCAAAGTGCTCGAGGTGCTTCTCTCACACCCACAAACAGATGTTAACATAATGGACAACTGTGGGAAATACTGCTTTACATTTAAGTGCTAAACAGAAACTTAAGGATGCATCTAAAGACATAGTAGATAAGTACAAAGACTGTATTCGGCTTCCCCTGAATCATAGTAAAATCGACCCAAATCTGGCTAATAGGAAAGGTCATAGTGCTGTCCATTTTGGAGCTCTAAATGATGCTAAAGAGGTGGTGCAAACAATTCTGGAGATTCCTGTAGATTGTATTCACGTTGATAATGCTACATGAGATTGCCTGTGTATTTTTCAGATGTAAGTCTAAATGTGCTGTAGGAAATTCAGCACTTAACTGCATCAGTGAGATCGAGTGGATGTCTAGAACAAGTTTTACAATGCTGATCTACCTCTGGAAAATGTAAGATTCATCAGTGGTTCTGTGTGCAAATGTTAATCAACAAGAAATTGTTGTTACTGAAAAGAGTACTTGTATTTGTCATGAATCATGTTGTCTGGTCGTTGCAATTAGTTATATTGCAGTATCAGACCCTCCAGATTTTGGCATGTGATGTAAAACAAAACTTCATAATTTTCAGCTGTTAATGTACCAAAGCAGTTAATAGATTCCATGTTTGAAGGGCTTAAAGGTGCAATAGCTGAAAGAAGAAAATCACCAGATACATGCTGAAAATCAAGACTGAATACCCAGCAGGACGAGAATTTTTTTCTCCTCCTGTGCTCAGACAAATTGTGGGTCCTAAAGGTAAGGCATTTAGAATGTTAAAGTGACTTCTTACCTACTATCTGGCACCAAGGTCAAGAATGCACATTCATGGAGTGATGATCAGTAATAGGAATAACTTTCCCTTTACTGGAAAAATATTACAACCAACTTTACAATAAAGTTTGTTACGGTTCCTAAATATAATGTCAACGGTTTTTGTGTATCAGAAGTAAATTACTCCTTCCAGCTCCATAAGTCTCTCATTCATGAACTGAAAACAACTGTTGAACGCTCTAGCATACTGCCTCTGGATTCTTTGTATTTATTGAATTTTTATCCCTTCTATTTGACATTCTTGAAAATTAATTAAAACTGATAAAGCATCTGAATTCAAGGTCTAAATATTTAGTGAAAATTTAGAAATTAATATATATCATTATTTTAAAATTTTACTGCTATATGAGCAGCAGAATCTGCTAGAATATGTGAGAGTTACTTGCAAAAAGATAATAAGTTTACAATTTTTTAAATTTTGTGTTACACAACAATAGAGCAGATCATAACATACAAGGTATGTCAGAAAGAATTACTGGATTGATGGAGTTTTTCCATCATTCAGAATTCTAGGTAATAGAGGACACAGTGTTTTGGAAACTGGATCTGTTTCCGTCTTCAGGTGAGAAACGAAGATACCTACTCAGTTGGGCCCCTTATAAAGAGCTAATCTCAGTCACTCAATCACTTTCTTTTGGCTGGCGGTAAGTAACGTCTTCTTCACTTACTCCGTCTCTGAAACGTTACCACGATTGTTTATGATCCCTATTGCCCTTTCCAGAATCAAGAGTACAGGCTCTGCATCCATCCAGACAACATCTGCTTCTCTCTTCCTCTTCCTGACACTTCTTCTGATGGCTAGTAAAAATAATCCTTGACCCTTGATTAGCAAGGACTCATATCTTATTTTCTGGGACTTTGTCTGGAAAGAGACATACTCTCTTGTTGATGGATTTAAAAGAGTTGCTACCTGTTGGTCAGAAACAGCACATACATTTAAGAGGCTCAAGAAATGGAGAACTCAGTGGAGAGTTCAAGACACCATGGAATGCTTTCAAGTTCACAAGTTGAGGATGTTTGCCTATGAGGAGTTTAATGATGGCTGGGCATCCACCATAACAAGCAAGTAAGGCAGGATGACGAGGTTCTACTGGACACATAGCATTGCGATCAACTTTTCTGTCCAACAACGCCTTACCTTGCTTTTTCAGTCCATTTTCTGAACAATACTGAAGCAACGTATGACTCCAATTGTTCGCGTGGAAGCATTTCAATGGCATCAGTGAATTCACCAAGTTTCTGATGATACAAGTACTGAAACAGGGTGCTACTATCTACAGTTTCTGTATCCCCATCTCTTCCATGTTCTGGTAAAAAGTCAGCAAATTCTGGGTATTTCTTATCTATAATGTCCCTGGCACTCTCAGATAGCATTCTCTTATTATCAACGTCAATACAATCTCCAGAATGTTTGCGCCACCTCTTTAGCATCATTTAGAGCTCCAAAATGGACAGCACTATGACCTTTCCTGTTAGTCAGATTTGGGTCGATTTTACTATGATTCAGGGCAAGCCGAATACAGTCTTTGTACTTATTTACTATGTCTTTAGATGCATCTTTAAGTTTCTGTTTAGCTATTAAATGTAAAGCTGTATTCCCAAAGTTGTCCACTATGTTAACATCTGTTCGTGGGTGTGAGAGAAGCACCTTGAGCACTTCAACATTTGCAGCTGCACAACACAACAATACAGTTCTTTTAGTGCATTTCATCGTTAGTAAATGCGATGTCAGTCATATTGATCGTACGTCCAACACTTGGCGAATTCTGCTTTGCAGTACTAGGAAGAGCCGACATCAAAGGATCAGAAAGCGATGTTGCTATGAACGCGTGGCCGCCACAAGCCAGTTATCCCTGTGGACACCTATTGCTGGAAACTCTCGAAGCCAAAAGGATTGATAGGCCATGCTTTCACAGTTGCTATGCATACTGAACATCAGGATCAAGCCAGCTTTTGTCCATTCGCTCCATGCGAGGTTTCTGTCCTGAGTGAGCTGGCCTTAGGACACCTGCATTATCCTTTGAAATGTTCATACATGAACATTCATTTACAGTTTTTTTTTCTAATATAAAATTTAACTTATGCTTACATTTTACTTAAGCATTTGCGTCTTCTTGTACTTAATCTTTCACCATCACTTCATAAAATCTCAAATCTGAACTGTAACTGTTCACCTTTATTTATTTAATGTTCAGTTTGTCACCCCTTACAACCCTTAATATCACTGTGAGGTAAAGCGAAGTTGACACACAGGATTACTGGGATTTTGGACTTTTTCCATTGTCCAGAATTCTAGATAATAAAGAGGACAAAACGTTTTGAAAACTGGATCTGTTTCCATCTTCAGGTGAGAAAGGAAGACACCTACCCAGTTGGGCCCCTTAGAAAGAGCTAATCTCAACCACTCAATCAGTCCATTTCCTTGAATCATCTAGTGTCCTCACAATAAAACTAAATATTTCTTTTAAAATGGTAAAAAATAATACTTATTGCAGGAAACACCTGGTCTGCATTATTTATTCAGTTCTTTAAACTGTTGTTGAGGGACTAAATTCTTGAAGTGTATTCAAAATGCTTCTCAGCATACCTTCCATGCTGTCAGATTTTATCTCATATTCTTCTAGTTTCTTTAGATTTAGGGTAAGGAATGTCTTCTATTTCCTCCATCTCTGAAATCTTACAGTTATTTATGATGCAAATGGTGAAGAGACCTATGGGTTTGAATTCCACCTTAGGTGCAAATGCAACTCATTCTGCTCGTCATTTTAACCCCTATATGGCTTGGTCCTGTTGTCCATGCAGACTTAATGTCTATAATCCACGTCCAGTTTCAAAATTTCAGCATTTGAATAAGCAGCATGCAACTATTCACATGCTTAATCCCGATTAGGTCATGATAACGTTGATAATGTTGAAGGTAGTACATATTTGAATACTAATGTTAAATAATATCAATCTTTTTAAGAAGACATTGCTTCAATTTCTATATCTTCACTCATTTTATAGCATTGATGAATTTTTTAAATATAAAAAATAATCTTCATACTGAATCCAATTGATAAATCCACCTATATAAATACTTCTGTTGTCTACCATAATTTTAAATATCTCTTAAAATTTATTACTCATTTATGCAGATATAAGCATGTAATAAGACCCCATTTGAATGTATTTGTTAGGTTGTTAATTTTGTGACACTTGTGTATTAAGTATGACATGTATATTTTCATGTTTATCTGTAAGTTTGCAATAAAAATTTAATTCTTTAAATTTTAACTATACAAATATGGTGTGTATACAACTTAAACTTGTTTCTTATTTATGTTCTTATATTTTGATAAATTAGCTTAATTCATATGATTTCATATTAAGATATGATTTTGGAGTTTCTTGTGAGGTTCTTATTATGACCAGTATACGTTTTTATTTTCATGTTGTTGTTTTTATTGACAAATGTGTTTTACATGTATTATATTTGTATTTTCTACTGTTGTATTGTGACAGTCTGCTTGTTTGTAAAGCAATGATTTTTTATCTGATGGTTCCTATATCCAATGGTTGTTCTCACAACATTGTAAAGATCTTATGGAATATAAATAAACCAGTAATCAGTAACTTAATTTTTTTTGTACAATTGAATGTTTCATATATACAAAGCACTGAAAATTAAACTTAATATATATTTATAAATACTTCCTCACATATTCTTCCACAAGAATTAACCCAAAGGAAATTTCTATAGTTCTGTTGTGAGTTCAGTCTGGTAAAGAAATATATAAACTAATTGAAAAATATTGTACCTAAATGAAAAAGAGTGAAAACACTGCCAATGAATCACCATTGTTGAGAGATGTTACCAAATCAAGACTAGTGGAAATAGTGTGGAAGTCAGCAATAGTGTTAGAATTACTTGTAGTTATGATCTGTGAGTGCTGAATAAATCTATTCACCAATCCAAACCCCGTCTATAGTCACTAATACACATGACAATATGTATATATTTTTAGCCTACTTACCTTGCTTAGGAAAATGATAGTACACTTCTGTTGTTCATTTTTAACAATCCTATATCAAGATCATAGAGTCAATGAATTATGAATGTGTGTTTCATTTTTATCCACAACATTTTTCTGGAACATCTTTCACTCAGACAAATATTTAAAGAGTTATGCTCAAGATACATGCAGGAACACATGTAAGTATTCATGTACCAGTAAAGTTCCCATTTTGTTTGCCCAGTTTTAACATAAACCAAAATGTGTCAACAAATTGTATTAAAATTCCTCAGTATCAAATTTCATGCAAGCAGATTCAGTGGTTCTCAAGTTGTTCCACATGTGCAGATAGACACATGGCCAGACAGACCAAGTACCAATTTTAACTGTTGCTCAACAGGGTTCTGAATACACCTAAAATGGACTCATTTCAAGTGATATTTTACTTTTCAAATAATTGCCTAATTTTTAAAAATACTTAATAATGCTGCCAGTTACCAACAGCTTTGGCAACTGAAGCAGTGATGATTAAGGTGATGAATTTTGAATTGTGGGATAGAAAATAGTTATGGCTAATATTTTACACAGCTCTCGGATTGCCTTGAATTATTTATGAGCCAGGATGACCAGTCCCAGTATTTAACCCAGAGATTTTCTGGCTACAGTACAAACTTGTCACATTATAGCTACTTTAGTGTGCAAGATTGTGTCCTGTCCATTTTATTGCAAATCTGTCAAATAATGATTTCCATGTGAATTTCTAAGCAGCATAAATTCCACAAATGTAGTTGGACAGTGTTGAGACTAGGAGTCTAAAAGGTTTCATGCAGACACGAAAATCCTAATTTTGCTATTTATTATTTCAAAGTAAATGGGCCAATCGGGCTCATTAAAATAAAATTATTTAAATGTATGCTGCATTTTATACTACTTGTTTCTTTATGAAAATTTGATATTGAACATGGGCATGCAGTCTCAGATGTGAACACTTTGACTTTTACTCAGCAACTTCGTATGCATGATTTCAAGACGAATATGAATAAAACAACTGTGATATGGATGGTACTTGTGTCATTTTAAAGAGCTGCACGATAGAAAGGGCACAAATGAAACAGCAAGTGTTTAAAAAAGCATAGCTTGCTAAGGCCATTACTTCAAATGGGATGGCTTAAGTGCAATATGTCAAACCTTCAATGGATAAATTCATGAAACAGTCAATTTTTTGGTCTGGCATTTTACTCTTACGCAGGACATCCTTTCTCATGCCAATGAAGTATTTTCGTGCTTATATTATCTCTCACAAAACGCTAACGTCGACTGTGCTCACGATACATCAACCGATTTTCGTACTGCGAGGTAGTATGTGAAGGTCGATATTTTCCGATTTTCATTTTAAAGTTAACAAAAGCATTACTTAAAATTTTGCGCTCAGATTTTGAGTAAGGTGGTGGCATTACTGAAAATATTTTGAGAGCTTTTCAACGACGTTTATCACATCAACGGCACTCCAATTTCCGTCTTTCTAATTTTTAATTGTAAGAAAAAAATGTAAATACAAAAGATGCCTAGGCAATGCCCAGCCGGCTTTCGTCTTTCTGAACACGGACTAACTGGTGCTGTCATCTATTGGCATTAGGTGGTAATAGGCAATAATAGGCACTTATCAAGGGAATCGATGTGTTTGTGGTAAATATAGGACGTATATTATTGTCAGAGATCGGGAAGGTTTACGGACATGGGCTATTGCAATGGCAGAGTGATCTGATTACGTAGCCCCGTGGTCAGGACTTCATGATCTGGTGCTGAGGTACTAGAGTTTTTGTCAGGTCAACAAGAAATACACGGTATGTTGAACACAAGGTCATTGACAAGTCACTTAAAAACAGTTTTCAGCCTTTTGACATTGTTAATGAATAGCAGCAGTAACCTCATTAAATATTAGCACAGTTTAAATTCATGAAGTATACTGTTTGCCCTTTTCATTGCAGACATGGCAAGTGTTGTTGATCCTGATATGTTTCAAGTTCCCTTAGCTGCGCTTTGTAACTCCACAAGGGAAGCACTTTCCACACATTTGAATCCATTGAAAGTTCTTCCAACAGATGAAGGTCTGCTGAGGTAAGTGGCTGGTTGTAAATGTGTCGAAGAATACATTGTATGGCATCAGGTTTTAATCTTGCTTGGAGCATGGATGTTTCCCCCGTAATTGCTCGTAATACCACTTGGTTTATTTGTAATGAAATATAAACTTATCTTCAAGTATTTTCTGATTGGAAGTCATGTTCTGATAGGTCTGAGAACATGATTAATTTCCAAATGCAGAACTTCTGGCCAAATTGGAGGCAGCAGTGTGATTTAATCCAAGAATGATTCTCAGAACAGTCACTTGGCCAGTATCGTTTGAGATTGAGTATTGCAAAAATTCATTGACACTTTTTATTCTGTTGCAGTGTTACCATATGGAAACACAGAGGTAAAATGTAGAATTGAACTGGAAAGTAATGCATTTACTTGTAGTTTTTGTTTAGATTTGAACTATTGGGGGCACGTGGTAGTGTAGTTGGTTGAGGCACTGTGCTACAAGTCAGAAGGTCGCGGGTTCAAGTCCCGATGAGGTCATTGGATTTTTTTCAATTGACCTAATCTTTCCTGCCGCACTGTGGCCCTGGGGTTGACTCAGCCTCTAACAGAAATGAGTACCAGGAGTATTCTTGGAATATTCTTGGGGGTAAAGGGTGGCCAGCACATAAAGCTGACAACTTTGCTGCCATCTGTGAGCCAATTGTGTAGAAAATGTGGGATCCTCAACATCTCACAACCCTATGGGCCTCCACAGCCTGTTACAGGGATACCTTTACTTTACTTTTACTTATGAACTATTATGTTTAGTGCGTAGTCCTTTGGGTTATAAGATCATATTATGCTGGATGGAACTTCTGTATATTTGAAGAGTACAGCTTCTGTAATTTTGAATGGTGAATCAACATTTCAGAGGAACATATCACTCCCATGTTCACGGTCGAAGAGTATGCAAAGCAAGGAACCGACTAGACACAGGCAGATAGTAGAACAATATGTTCCTCCGAAAGATCAGCTTTTTTCAAATTACATGATGCTACAACCCAGAACCCTTCATAGAGAACCTCAAATTCATCTTCCATATATTTCTTCTGCTTCAGTGCGAGGACTGTGAACCACATATTGGTTACCATGAAAGCCTTAGATATTGTATAATAATAGGGAGGAGCTGTCCTTCAGATATGATTTGCAGCAACAAACATATTGAATGAGCATTCCCACAGAGCTGACATGGTGCGGGCCTCCATGATGGAGGTTGGTCAGGTAGTTGACAGTCTATTAGCATGAATAGCTAGTATGTTACAAAATGTTACACAGGTCCCAGGAAATGTGGGCTCTTGAGGACTTGGTAATAAACCTTCAGGTTGTATAAAAGATGGGAAATTCATTGACTAGTTGACTGATTTGGCTTCTCAAGAAGGACTCAGATTCATGGATTTAGCCAGTAAATATGTATTTATTCTGTTAAAGTGTTCAGTTTGCTTCATATTTTCTTGTATCTTTTCATAAAATTTTAGATTTTTATGGCGTGAGTGATAAAAGCAATTGTCTGATTATCAGGATTTTTATTTGTTCTGTTTAAACTGTAAAGATTATATGACATTGAATGCTTCAGAATGATGACTGTGAAGTATGTGTGGATATGGATTTGGAAGGAGGCAATCATGGCATATTTCAAGGTGTTGTTGTGGGATATGCTTTGGAAGTCTGAGAAAAACCACAAAAGAATCGTAGAATAAGTGGGAACCTGGCTGAGATTAGAACCAGGTCCTTTATAAATATAGATCTAAAGTGTTACTGCTACGGCATCCTTTTCCATAGTAGAAATGTAATTCTGTCTTTCATTTTTCCCTGTGTTCAAGTTTTACACTCTGTGACAATTGTTAACACTGCCTGAAAGTCAGATGCACTGCATCTAGCAGAAGGCAAAACCAGACAACAGATGACTTGCTTTTATAACTGTTACCTTATCAAGTTGTGCAGTTTATAATTATGCGTGTACAGAGATACAGCTTATTGAACTTGCATATTTTGCAGGGACTGGCGAGGGTTGGCCCAATTGGCAGGTTTCAGTGGTCAAATGGTAGCTCTTATGGGGTCCAAACCTGACCCCACAGCACAGGTGTTAAGCCAGTGGCGGCAAGGATCAGTTGGCCTTCTGAGATCTATTCTTGGCCAGTTGGATCGTTGGGATATTGTGAATGACACACAAAATATGATGGGTGAGACACTGCCTTCAATGTATATAGATTCTAATTTTCATTTCATGCATTCTGTTGTGTTATAATATACAATTTCTTTAATAAATCTGTCACAACACAATTATATTAAGGTCAGTGCCAAGTTTGGCTGTGCTACATGTTTTGGCTATTAAAAGCCATCATCAGGCAAGTACATGGCTAACATATGTACACCACTAAAATGCAGTACTAATAAAATTGGATACAATAATATTAATTATATTAAAATACTTGGCCAAAAATACAATAAATTAGATTGTATAAAACAAAAGTTTNTCGCTTGCAGATTTACTTATACTTCTTCAACCCTGAAGATGGGGGCGATACGTTCCTCCGAAACGTCGGTTAACACCACGTATACACGGTGCCAAATCCCAGAAGACTGCTTTCTTCATAGTCACCGCCGTGAAAGCCTCAAATCTTACAAGAATAAAATTCTTCGAGTAATGCTTTACATCATCGAGTCAGTCATTGGTTTTGTGATTTTGTTGTGTTCCCATGGACAAATTGGAGCATTCTCTATGTTGTGTGTATATATACACAACAAAATCACAAAACCTGTCTAGAAAATGTGGGACCCTTGACGTGTCACAACCCTATGGGCCCCCACGACCTTTTACAGGTTTTATTTATTTTAATTCTCCAAGGCACAATAGATCACTGTGGTTGCGGTGCAAGGGCCAAGAAGGCCCAACCCTTATACATTCATTCATTCATTATTTTAATTCTTATTTATAAAGGTAGGCTGTGGATTTAATGTAAACTTCTGGCCTATGGTATCAGCCCCAGATGATAGGTGAGGATGACTGTGGAGCAATTGGTGGAATGAAGATTGGCAGGGGAAACCAAAGTACTTGGAGAAAACCTGCCCCAGTGCCACTTTGTCCATAACAAATCCCACTTGACCAGACAGTCGAACCTGGACCACCATGGTTGGAAGCGAGCGACTAACCACTTGAGCTATGGTGCGGCCTGAATGGCAGGATACTCGTCTTTCATAGAAATCCAGAACTTGTCCACGGATAGGTCAGGAAATCTCATATTGAGTGTACAGTCACACTTGTTTCCAATTAATATAAATATTAATTGCTATTATACTATCAAGATTATTGAAATGATCAAATAACTCATTTAAATACTGAATAACCATACAGAATTTTAATGATTAAAACGGTAATNTCCCCCCCCCCCGATATCTGTCATGGAACCCTAGGGTTCTAGGGAGCCCTGGTTGAGAAAGGCTGCTCTAGAATGTAATGGAGCTGGGGTAGCTCAGTTGATATAGAGACAGGCTCTGGGCTGAATGGCTGGGGTTCAATATGCCTCCCAGGGGCGACATATTGCCCAACTCCACAGTTTCCATACCAGTTTTGGGGCCTACCCAGCCTCCTATCCAGTACGTATCGGGGGCTCTTTGCCCGAGGGTAAAGCAGCTGGGTCATGAAGCTGGCCGCTCACCTCCATCTAGCTCCGAGGTCAAGAATGGCGGAGCTGTACCTCTAATCTCTGTACATCTTCATGGTGTGGCGCTTAATTAATGAAGCAGAGTGACAAGTTTGCTTTTTATGTTACCGTTTTACCCTAGAGTTTGGGGAGGTACTGTCTTTAGATACACATCTCTGGGTACAATAATGAGGCACTCTGCTTCTGTTCTGTCGCAGATCATGATGCTGTTCTGTTTCTGAAAAGGAAGGAAGAAACCGGGGCCTCTGCTCCTGAGTTGGATGCTGATGTTGATAAGGAAATCTTAACCATAGGTATGTATGTTTCTCTTAACAACTGAACTTCTTATGAGAGCAAAAGAGTGTTATTCAGCACGTCGCATACTTTTACATTTTGCTATAAGATTAACAGTATGTGTGAAATATAAGATTAAGTTATACAACCATATTGATTTCTGTGAAACACTATATAAGAGTAGAAATGATTCTCTTCTGACAAAAGAAATATATTTTGATACTGAAAAAGTAAACATATCTACTATTTAAATTCTTGAAAATCTTCTCTAGTTTAATTTAAAGATCTGAAAATTATTTTAGATGTAGTTGAATATGAACCATACTTGTTACCCATATTCATGATAGAAGGTCAGTTTCATGTCTTATCCACCTGGACATAAACTGATCTTTGCGCTTTGCCAAATTTCAAGATTTGTAATTCATTTATTTCTTGATAGATGTCTGTATGTAATATCTCTATAGACAACTGACATGGTGATGAGCAAAGTTAAATGTTGTTGCGGGGTTCGCAACCCTTTTTAATTTTAGGAACTTGAGTCTGTGTCTTGGATCATGCCCTCTACTAAATTTACAGCACGTCAAGAAGTTGACCTGCTTCCTCAGAGAAAAAATGTTATATCTACCCTTGCCATTCCATAAATTAGTGGAGTCCTGGAGTGTTTTCATCTGGGACCTATCCTTCACCAACAGCTGGTGTAATCTGATCTGCGTGAGGGTTCATGTCTCGGGACATTGGTCTGCAAGTTTAGTTTTTAGAGAGGTTTTAAGAAGAAGAGGAAAGTTGAAGGGTGCATTTTGTCTGGGTTGGGGCTACGAGAAGGCTGGCCAGGCTTACGTCCACCAGCGCTTGTATGTAATATACACTAAGAATCAATAAATCCTCTATTATCTGTAGTGAGTATTTGCTCTTTGTGGTTGGAATACCCGCTCCAGCAGCCAACTGACCATCACCATCACTGAATTATTACGCTACCGCTCGGCCAACATAATTCAGTCGACCGCCAACATCTTGGGTCACGACAATGTAACAAAGGAAAAGAAATTAAAATAGTAGGAGGGCAGCTTTCTCTAAATGAAGAAAAGTGTTTCATGTGATATCACACCCTCAGACATTATGAGACTTGTTATAATATCAGTACTGATAATTTTAACAAAATCTGCTATATTCATAATTCTTATTTATTTACGTCCATAAACTGTTACACAAGTACAATTTGACAAGCCAGTTTAAACCATCTAAAACACTACAAGCCAACAACCCTTAAAAATATACAAAATGATACACAAGAGTAAGAACAATACAGTCATCTTAGGATCATCGTCCCACTGCTGAAGCTTAGCAACCTCGGATGACAACCCCAAACAATCCAATATAAAGCAACCAATACACTTATACCATGTAAATTGATCCACACCACATCAAAACCAACCTGAGCCACCAAGAAATTGTATGTTAATGTTAGTTATAGTGTTAGTTGTCACAAAATAGCCAACTGGTGCATGTGGGCAGGCACCAGAGAACCTACATCAAGTGTAATTTTGCTGATTGTGAACTTTTCTTTTTTCCTAGCTGATGTATATAGGCTAGAACAGGGCATGGAGCCACAGCGTTATGATGCCTTTCTCCTATTTGCTGATGAGGATCAGGATTTTGCAATGCAAATTATGGATAGGATGGAAACAGAATATGGACTGAAGGTATGGGAACCTTGCAACCATGGTAAGAATAGAATTGTCCGATTTGTTTGATATGTGTTGATCAAACATACCAATTTCTTGTACATCATCTGCTTTGCCAGAATAGTTTCCACGTATAATCTTATTTACTTTTCTTTGTTACTTCATCTTTCTTGGGTTCAGATATTTTCTCCAATACTTTAGCATACTCAGTATAGCGACTGGCTATGGGCTGGATGGCAGAAGGGTCAGAGTTTGAGTCCCGATGGAGTCAAGAATTTTCTGTTCTCGAAGTCGTCCAGACTGGCTCTGGGGTCCACCCAACCTCCTATCCAATGGGTACCATGGGATCTTTCCCCAGGGCTAAAGTGGCCCGGGTGTGAAGCTGACTACTCATCTCCAGCTAGTGCCAAGGTCAAGAAAATGTGGATCCATACATCCACTCTACCATACATCTTCATGGCATAGTGCTTATTTCATTAAGCACAGGGACAACTTTACGTTTTACTTTGTTCTCAAGCACTGTATCTTATGGTGTTATGGGATGTGACAACATGAAGTTTGCTTTCAGGCACCTTATCGTATGATGTTATGGGATATGACAACATGAAGTACAAGTATGCTAGATAAGCAGTAGTATTTCATTGGGTTCTATGGCATCCATCCTCAGGTTGCCCTGACTCTTACTGTTATTGCCAAATTTAAATATGTTTGCCAGCCATTGTAATGGTGGATTTAAAATCCTCATTCCTGAACAACAGAGGTTTAAATAGTGTTGGAGTGCTTCACTGCTGGGATCTTGAGTTTATATTCTGTTGGAAGCATGTATGTTTTTTCAATCATTTCCTGTTTCCATGCCTACTTCCATTCCAAGAGCTTCAGTTGCTTATATCAGGGAACTTCTGCATTTAAAGATTTGAAGGCTTGTCTTGGACTAAAGGGAAATGCAAAGAGAAAGTAGGGGGGCATCAGCTAATACAAATGTGGGGAGAAAAATATTGGAATTGCTGATGTTCATGTGTTCCTGCTAATGGGTGGGATTAAATGTTTTATATAGGCATAACTGACATGGATGGAGAAGATCAGTTGGACCGATTATGTGAGAAATGAGGAAGTGTTATTTAGAGTCAGTGAGCAGAGGAATATCCTACACAAAATAAGAAAACAGAAGACTAATTGGATTGGTCATATCTTACGCAGTAACTGCCTTCTAAAAGAAGTAATTGAAGGAAATATAAACCAGAAGATGAGGAAGAAGATGTAAGAAGATGCTGGATGACCTTGGGGACAGAAGAGGATATTCTCATTTGAAGGAGAAAGCTCTAGATTGCATTAAATGGAGGAACTGTTTTGGAAGAGACTGTGGACCTGTTGTCCGACAGATTACTGATGAACTGAACTGACATGATTTTAATTTTTTTCATTAGGTAATCTCTGATTGTAAATCTTCGTAAAAGGATTCAAGTGATTTCTTTATTTTTGCAGAAATTCGCACAGTGAACAAAAATAACCTGCTTTATGATGCTGGCATTAATTCTGTAGCCGCATAGTGTAAAATACATTGATTTTAACTTGATTGAGTGCAAGAGTTTTGGGTTTGAATTATCTATGGATTATATATATTTTGCATTTGCATTTCATTATAAATAGTTATCCTCATTACGGTACTCTGAAATTTAGGGTTTCTTATTTGTCTGTTGTCTCATTGTAGTACCACTGCCACTGGGTGAAAATCCATTTGCAGTTAAATAATAATAAATATATCCTTGGCCTAGTCCCATGTGTGTGTAGCACATGAATGACTTACAGATCCTGGCAAGGGAATTGAGAGAGGCATGGAAATCTCATGGAAATGCTCCAAAAAATTATTATTGACTTTATTTCAGTTGCAGTGTGTAAAAAAAATTGAGAATATAATCACAAAAACATGGTATATTTTTCACATATGGGTACCAAAAATTATAAGCAATCTATTTCTTCAATTGAAGTGGTATCTATCAGTAAGTTACATCTTAGAATAAACTCAAATGATTTTAGTAGAATATTGATTATTAATGGTGTTTTTTTTTATCAGAGGTCTCATGCACATAGTAAAATGACTATTATATTATTTATGGGATATTTTCAGTCAAACATGAGACATAAGTTCTTTGTGTTTCTAGACTTTATGTGAATTTTCTTTCTGTAAACAGCTATGTTTGCGAGATCGTGATTTGGTGGGTGGTCTGACCTTTGAACATGAAGCCATCATGCGTCTAATTGCAAGGCGGTGCAACCGACTAATTGTCATAGCCTCACCAAATTTCCTCAAAAGTGAAGCCAATAAGTTCTTTGTTACCTTTGCTACAGCACTTGGAATAGGTAAGTGTCAAGATTTTTTTCAAGAGAAAGTTTCTAATTTAAGAAGTGAACATCCAGAAAATCTAAGTACGTAGAGGTTTCCTCTACTGGCCTCAACTACTGTGAATGGCTTTCGTGTATACCATACATAATGATCCCCGAATCTTATTCTGCACCAAGTGACTACTGCAATCTCTGCAATGAAATTTATGCCACAAGAAGAGTTGCTATGGTAACAGTAATCTTACATTTTCAGATTTATTTGCAGTTTATTTAATGTTGCTGCCGCTAGCTCTGACTGTGTAATACTGAATGGTAGGATGATTATGAATAATGAATTGGAAGGGATATGAATGGAAACTGTGGTAAGAGTTACTCACTCTTTACCTATCTAATCAGTGTAATTTAACCTTACCAAATATTTGGATATATACAGAGTGGCCCAAAAGTCAGTTAACTACTTAGTTAAATGTGCATTAAAATCCATTAGAAATTTCTTTATCACTTACTGACTTTACAAAAGTTGTTCGAAGTGAGGTCCTCCATGTTCAGTGCACAACTCACAGCACTGTGATTCATTTCTGTAAATTGATTGGCACAAATCTGAACATTCCCATTGATACAACATGTTTTAGGTTAACTTACTTTTGGGCCACTCTGTGTATCTTCTGATATTTAGAATTTTTTAGATCAAAGGCTACGCAAAGTGGTGCCAGTCATGTACCAGAGGTGTCAGCTGCCTCCAGAGTTGACCTACTACTTCTGGCTTGACTACTCCCGGGCTGGGAAGCTGTATGACTTCTGGACGAAGCTACACAACTCCATACATTCTCCTTCTAATATGCAGTCTTCCAGGTATTTGAAGCACAGACAGTTCAGTAACCAGAGTTTCAAAATGCATATTTTGTGGTACAGTCTTCATATTTATTTATTGCAGATACAAATCTATTTTTTATCAAGTTATTCAGCTTCAGATGTATTATACAATGTACAGTTCCTACTCCTGTCATGCTAGATTTATGGCAACTACATTGTCAGATGGGTCATTATGTTACATAGTTATTAATTTATAATTGTGACTGGTTACATTATGTAGAAAAAAAAAAGCATGGAATGGAAATAGTTATGATATTTCCCAGACATGGATAATAATTATTATCCATATTATTAAATTATAATTTAACATGTCCACACCCAGTAACTTTGCTATAGGCTTACCACCCAGTCCCCTATTTTTTATGGGGGTACACTAGTGCTTTGCTTTATTTCACAGTAAAGTACTGATTAGCAAATGGTCTATAGGTGACCAAAAAAATCACAAAAGGGCAGCACATGTATGATATGGTGAGTGAGGAAAATTATTAAATGTCTTCACACGTATTACTATCTGATGTAGGTAAGGTACGGGGGCAAATTTTATAATAAGAGTAGCACTGTGGTTGCTAGTAGCTAGATGGCATCACTGTACTGAACAGGCTGGTCTATTGGTAATGCTGTAGACCTGTATTGAGGAGGTGCTGGGTTCAAATCTCAGCCAGGACACCAGCTGTCCTTATTGAGATGTATTACAGTTTTCCTTAGTTCCTCCAGGCACATACCAGGGTAGTACTTCAGTTTAACCATGATAGCTTCCTTCCAAATCTTCTTCAGTTTATCATTTGACACTGTGCAGTCTTGATACTGAAAGCATCATTAAATAACCAACTAAAAAAGAAGCATTCATTTAAATATCTTTAATTCTGTTCCTAAAGTTTGCATATATTTAATCCATGTTCAACTTTAACACTTTTGTGCCTGTGGCCAGAGTTGGTCATTAATGGTGCTTTGTCCTACTGTATCCAACCAAGGTTGGATATTAACATGTTGTGAGAAGACACTCAGAGTACCTAGGGTTTCCTCTTTCTCTAGATGGTACATGTAGTTAAGTTTTGCTAATCGTTTCTTTACCCTGAAATTCTGGAGACCACTAGTATACTGCTAAAATGGCCAGGTTGGCCGATTTGCTAGTAGTTAAACTGTTAATAATGCAGTTATTTGTTCTTTTACTAATAGGACTAACTTACCGGCTATTAAAGCTAATGGTGAAGAAAGCTGTAGTCTCAAACCCCAACCTGTGTTGGAACACAACACTGTCATTTCTTCTAATTGGAAGGATGAGGACCCTGCAGATTCATGCAGTCTAGGAAGTGAAAACTCAAGCACACTCAGTCAAAACGTGAGTTCTCAATGTATATTTTAGCCTCATGTTGGGCACGGGTTTTTTTATTGTCAGAGGTTCACCCATTTTTGAAAAGCGTTTTTTGTCACAACTCTGAAGTAACAAGTATTGAAGGTCTAGTGGTTACAGATCGAGAGGTCCCGGGTTCGATTCCCGGCGCTACCAGGTTTTCTGAGAAGTAGTGGGCCTGGAACAGGGTCCAATCGGCCTTGTGAGCATAATTGAGGAGCTATTTCAAGGAAATAATGGCTCTGGTTTAGAAAACCGAAATTGACGCCCATGGGTATTCGTTGTGCTGACCACGCGACCCCCTCTATCCACTAAAGTTGGCACTAACTTTGCCAACAAGCAGCGGTTGCTCGGTCGGTATAGTTTGCTTGTAGACTCAAGCCACAGAGTTTGTTTTTATTTTTTTTATATAGTTCCATTTTGTGTCAACAGAAGAATTGCAGAAATTGCATTTTGCATGTCTGCTCCAGTGTTGCTTTGTCCAGCACATCCCACATGAATTCCCCTGGGATTGAACCCTATTCTTCATAAAGAGATGCAGGTGTTTGTCTCTGTGCATGCTCATGCCCTACATAAGATGCCTTGTATAGGTGACTGAAATTGAATAACATTTACTATATTGTGTGCTGTTCTGTTTTGCCCTTTGCTATCATTTCAGTTTGAAGCTTCAGTTTTAAAGAAGCAAAAATCATTAAGTTTGGAGTCTCTGAAGTCTAAGACATTCACAAAGCTGTTGAATAAGATATCAAGAAGAAAAGCACAGTTAGCAGAGGCTACATGATCCTTTGCAGTGACTCTCATCATAACGGGTTCTGGTAAGTTTTATGTTTACTTCATTTTGTCATCTTTTTTTGTAGATCTACAGTAACATGGTAACATTTCAGAATATCTGTTTCACCTGACTGTTTTTAATGTCATTAAAATTAGTTAAAGCTGTTTTAACCAATTTTAACATAATTCAACAATATTGAGAACTAGTTTTAACTGAGTTTTAGAAAAGTGAACTAGAAAAAGCAATACAGTGCAGCAGTTATGTAAAAGTATTTACCTGATGATGACCGTATAAAGTTGAAACATGTCATAGAAGTAACATTTATTGGAAAAAAAAAGTGACCATGTAGCACACCAACAGCCTACAAGCACAAGAAGAAGTTGCACCTTCGAGACTGTTCCTGCAAATTAAATTGTAAATCAGTGCAGTGGGGTGCTGAATGTTCATGCTAGACAGTGTTCACTGGCAGGGGCGGAAGTGGCAGCATGAGTCATGGAGATGTCATGAGGAAATTCATGTCGAAACTGCTGCCTCCTCTTTCTTCTATGTAATTTAAATTTTAATTAGTACTCTATTAGCTATGGTACTGTTTTCACATAGCCAAGATAGCTCAGCTTCAGTTTTACCAAGGAAATGGGGCTTTATTGCTGCCAGGAGCAGTTCTGGGCCCAACCCACCTTCCTATCCACTTAGTAATGTTTCCTTGGGTATAAAGTGGCCAGGGTGTGAAGCTAACCGCTCATCTCCATCTAGTGCTGAGGTTAATAATATATGGAACTAAACCTCCATTCCTATATGCGTCTTAATGGTGTGATGCTTAAGTTTACTTTTTATTTGACATGATATAATTTGCTTAAAATAGTGGTATGCACTAGAAACACAGTGAAGATCAGTAATTTAAATGCCTTAGGTTAAGCCACAGTCAGAATTAAAATAAAGACCCTTAATTTTTTTTTGCTTAGTGGGGGGTGGAGTCCATCTGGGTCCACTCGGCATGGCTGCCACTGATTGGCCTATTGTACCTGCCCCGGGTGATTATGATGATGGAGAATTTGCTGGAATGGAGATTGGCAGGGTAAACCAAAGTACTCGGAGAAAACCCGCCCCCAGCACCGCTTTGTCCACCAAAAATCCCACTTGACCAGACCTGGGATCGAATCTGGGCCGCCGCAGTGGGAAGCCAACTACTAACTGCTTGAGCTATGGTGCAGCCTGACCCTTAATGTTAATATCAATTATTTTCACCTATTCTGCAGGAGACTTGCTGTTAAACGGTGAAACTCTGTTGCATCATGAAAGAAACTGATATGTGTTACTTATTAAAAACTAAAGAATCTGTTGTCCACAAAGTTAACAGTTCTTACATCATTGGTTGGAACCATTCTGATTTTCACAAGATCTTTTCTACATTTATAGGCTGTTTTGAGATAAATATGAACCAAATTATGTGTGAATCTCAGTGCAAATTATTGTGATGACAGTTAAAATTGTATTGTTTGTTTCAGTTTACAGTGCCACAGCACAAGACATTGCAGAACCTTCACCTGTCACAGACATAAACTCAGAGGGATCAATCATTCATCCTGGAAACTCTGTACTTGTACTGAATTTTATGGCTTTTATTGGTTAAAAAAAAAACACCAGCCATGTATCATTCTCTGTCTTCCCTACTGATACATATGTATCAATGCATGGCCTAAGTAACTTTACTATTTACTGGGATGTTTTCTGCCTTGCTGGAGCATACATATTTGAGCTGTATCATGACAGCGTCACTTGATGGAAGGTTGCTCACATGTCTGCCTGTATATAAAATGAGTGGCCATAATGAAGGAGAGTCAACATGTGTTCGTATTCTTTATGTAAGGCTTCATTGTGCACTACCAGAAAACTCCGTTACTGATATACAGCTTCATCAAGTGCTTGGGAAAATTCCATGTCTTTGAAGAACTGACCTCTTCCACCTCTTGAAGAATCCCACAAGTTCATAATTTCCAAAGAAATTCACATTAGGAGTTAGCTCTTGTGTCAGACTGATAGTTGTGGATTTGTTGGAGGCAGAATATGGATTGATTGTGGAGGTGTTAGCGTGATACATTTCAAAGTTTCTGGGATCACCCATGTAATAATGTAGTATTACAACATAACAGAGAAAAAGTACTGAATGAGAAAAAATGTGACACTTTATAGCCTGTAGAAGACTGTAATTGAATCAAGAAATAGTGGGAATGCAAAATGACAGGTGCTTAATCTTGAGTTGAGAATTGGACACCAACCAACTATTAATTCACTAGATAGGGTGCCTGTGTTTCATTGAGGCAGAAGTATCAGCCTGTGAGGCAGTTCTGGAATGAGAGCATCTGTTGCCATGTTCCAGTCATGGATGGAAATGATGATAATCTAGGCTTTGAAAACATTGTACTCTGGTCAGATATGGAATACAGTAATGTTGCCTGAGTCATCAAACAGTTGAGAAAAAGGTGTCAGTCATCTGTATATTAGCCAATATTCTCCAGAGTGTCAGAATTTGATCATGAAAGCAGTATTTCATCTTCAGGTGATAAATATACCAAATCTACATTCCAAAAAGCTCCTAAATAAATTGTTCTCCCTGTTCTTTATATTCAAAAGCATTTATTTTTTTATTATGGGAAAAAATTATTGTAAATACAAAAAAAAAGGCCTAGACAATGCCCACCGGCCTTCTGTAGCACATTCTTATATACATCTTATTCTATTACAGTGGTCTTCCCACGTGAAAGCATTTATGTTTGCTTTCTGTTTCGTATTGGTACCTGTTGGAGAGTTGTCTAATTTCTTGATGATTCAATAGGTCATAGGGTATGTTCCTTTCATGTAGTGACTCAGGTTTTAAAGGTAATTGTCTTAACAGGAAATAATATAAGTAATAATTTTTATAAAAAGAAATGCAGGTCATGTATCTGTTACATTTGTTTGAATAAGGTTGTGATAATGTTAAAAGATACTTTCTGAGAGATTAATTTATTACATTTCTGTTTCTGCTATATTTGCTTGACACTAAAAAGTCATATTTGGCACAAGAAACCTGCCCATAATAATGCATGTGATTTGTTTTATTATAACTCTCCACTGAAGTGGCTTGTTTTATGGGCTGCCTTCTGAGAATGCAATGTATTAAATCACATTTTGAGATATAATGACAACTTAGCGTGGAATATTATGCTGTGTCTTCTGTAGCTGTTATCTTCTTCATTAATATGATCATAAATGACAAATCTACCAAATGATGTTTTATCCTGCAATAATTACCATGTTAATAATCAAGCCGATTCGAGATGTGCCTTGTAGGTCTGCAACTTGTGTTCACAGACCTTTTTCATGCTGAATTTACATCAGGAAGACCTTTTTATATTTCAAAGGCATTGCAAGACTCGATTAAAGGGAATTGAAAATGGTTAATGTGATGTGTCAAAAGATGGCTGGCATATCATGACAGTTACAAGATATTGGGCTGGTCATGTGACTTCAAATACTTTGATGGCTGTTAAATGTGAATAACACCTTTGCATCAATATAAGCTGCACCCATAAAATTGGATGGCCTTCAAATGAAAGAATTCACTTACATCATTACAGGCAACAGTCAAAAGAGTACGTCAGTTTCATGTTGCTTCATGTAGTTACACATGTAAGTTGATTATTTAAACAGAGTTTAATTTTCAGGTTAAATGTGGGAAATTCAAGTATAATGCATTTCTGTTAGGACTTCAGTAATTGGTAACATTGATATGAATTGTTTTCTTCATCCCTTTACCATTTTACTGAAGCTATAATGTCTTCTCTTGATCATAAGAATAAATTAATTAAGGTCGTCGTTCTGTCTTCTCACGCCGTTCCAACCGATCAGAACTACCATAATATTATGACAGGATCAGTTTTATTTTCCATTGCAGAAGGTAAGTGCATGAAATTAAAAAATACAATTATACATTACGTCGGACGAGCATACCCACCTAAGATGGTGTGAGCAACTATTAAAACGTAAGTTTCCCGCGGGTTGATAGACCACTGTTGGTCGCGGTGCAAGGGCCGAGAAAGGCCGCCCCGTTTACATTCATTCATTCCTCCGTGTTCACCTTCTAATCTAAGACACCAATTGCCTGCTTGAAATTTGCGACATTTCCCGGATATTGCGGTTGTGTTGTAGTTTACAGTTTCCTAGTGTGCCCACACCCTAGGAAACTACACGGCAACACAATAATGAGAAGGCTGACATGCACCGTTGCTTGGAAGTGGACTTAGTCTTTCGGCGAGTTGCGTTGCCGTTTCCTCAATTTGCGCTGCTCCATTAAGTAACTCTTTCAACTCAGGCTGATAACAGCTCTGTAAATTGCAGTTGCCGGTCTAGAAAACCGAAATTAACGGCAGTAGGGATTCGTTTATAGTAGAAAAAATACTGTAAATACAAGAAAGGCTTAGGCAACGCTCACCGAGTTTGTTTGTTTGTTGCAGTTGCCGGTTTCCTTGGTGCGCCCTCAGCCTGTCCAATATGGTTGGTTCCCACAGGTGTTGAAGCTGACAAGATTCCAGTTTTCATCAATAGTAGTAGTAAAACAAGTGAAGTAACGTGTGCTTGTTGTGATAAATTTAAAATATAACTACAAAAGACCTTAAAAGAATTCAGATCAGCACAAAAAATTATTGACCTGCTACAAGAAAAGATAAACACCCCGAATCGGACCGTAATGTTACTTGCGTCACAGCGATAATTTGATACAATTGGAACTAAAAAAATGTAGAATGAGTTAATGTGCCCTCGTCGCGTCGGAAAAGAGACAGTAAGCCAGGAGTAAACTATGCTGTTCCAATACCTATCATTGCAAACCGCTATGAGCTACTAAATAACCTCAACCAGCTGACAAATACAACACAATGAGAACACGTTAAACAGAAAAAGTGACCGAGGCCGGGACGTATGGCAGATGCAGAAGACATGCAATAACAAGTAAAGATTATTTCTTATAATCATTTCTGTCAAAGCGAGTGATCTAATAATTAATGATAGGGAGGCACACTGCCCTCAGTAAACTAGTTATAACGAAACTATTCGGGTAACAGTGGTTGAAAAGGAAGCAGTCCTACCAAACAGTAAAATAAATCAAATTGAATCATAAACAGAACTAGTAGTACAGTAAGATCCTATGGACTATAGACACCCCCACGTAGGTCACATTCCTCTTTTGTGGAAAAATAAATTCAGTGCTTTTAATTTTCTTTGTGTTATGAAATGCTCTTCCACTTCTGTTTGCATGCAAAGTATTAGAAGAGCAATCAGGATTCATGAAGCGGTGTCATATTATGTTTTTGCTATAAATAAAACAGTGGGAAATTGAATAAAGGTTCATTGTGTGTTGATTTTTATAATATGTCTAGGCATTTCTTGAAATACAAATAGACATACTGTGGCAGGTCTCAATAAAAAACTCTGCTCTCCATTGCAATTGAGACGAACAGCTGAAAGCAAGTATACACTGTCTTTACACTTGTATTCAGCCAGAACCAACACACAACAAAATTTCAGTTGAATTTACCTTAATTTTATATAACTTTGACAAGTCACAGTTTTTAATATCTATATTGATGGTAATCAGACAGTGGGAAAGCCAGCTGTTATGTTTTAATGGTTTTTCTTTTGTTGGGTGTTAGCCCTTAATAAAAATGTGATGCAAAGAGATGTACATTTTGTAAAACAGAATGTGAGATTATAATTTTATGGTTTAACTTGAAAAAATTAAAAACCATTGGCTGTAAAGAAATATAGTATCATTGGATTAAGAATCATTATAAACAGAGGAATTTCATTTAATTATTTGGGTCCACAGGATCATATTGTAATGCAATTAAGGTTAGTAATAAAATCATGAGGTTCAGCTCCACATGCATTATCAGAATAGTGCTATAAATAAAAACATTCCAAAGGATACACAGTTAAAATTTTATAAAACTGTGGCTTGCAAGTCTCACTGACTGCAAGAAATTCAGCAGACAGTCAATTTGAGAGGCCTGCTGTAGGAATAGTTTCATAAGTTCTTCCCTTATTTTAATGTCTCAGATTTTACTGAAATTGAGGAGGAATGTGATGTGCAGTCCCTATTTTGTTTGGATTCAGTTTTACCACAAGAATAACCTGTTAAATTGTCTTCATATATGTAAGCTTTCTCTTCATTTGCACAAAGAAAACTCAAATAGGGATTTGATTGTTTTCTATTAGTGCAGTAATTATCTGTGTACATTTCAGAGTGGCATGAGTAGTGTACATGTAACATTCCTTGCTCATTTTGGTTATTCATTTTCTGATTTAAACAGATGAGACACCAGTCGACATGCTGACCACTGAAGTGCTGGTCTTCGACATGGAACCTGATGTAGATGTAGGAGTTGCAGGGGCCCTCCATCTGTCAGTCAGTAAGGGTTATCTGGAGCACAAGCTTCACATTTTGTTCATCTCCAAGCATGTTCAGCATCCCGTTGTATTGAGGCATCATCCTATTTTTTAGTAACGTATCCATCAATAATAATATGATAGGTCAAATCAATAAAATGCCCGTAGGCCTTTACGTAGTACATAAATTTACACATTAAAAGTGAATGTTCACACTCCTCAAATTGTCTTGGTTTTACATGTATTTTTACTAATTTATATTCACAACATGTTTCGGCCTCATTGGGCCATCATCAGATAAATTCTATCCTCTAGTGAGACCACTGCACTATATTTGTTATGAATATAAATTAGTAGAAATACATGTAAAACCAAGACAATTTGAGGAGTGTGAACATTCACTTTTAATGTATACATTTATATACTAAGTAAAGGCCTACAGGCATTTTATTGATTTGAACTGTCATAGTATTAAAATGCATTTTTAGTGAACAACATATTCCTAATATCTTTTTAAAGTTGTATTATTGACGGGTATGTTAGTAAAAAATAGGATTAGCTTCACATTTTCATGGGAAAATTGTATTGTAGTTGGTTTATCTGTTTGCTCTGTCTCACTTAACTGGAGGGTGGGCACGGTGTTGTACTTGTCCTACTGTTATTTCTGTTGGTCATATTTTGAACCACTGCCTGGTATGTAGGACAGATCGTATGAAGTTTAGTTGAGATCTGATGCCTGGATGTAGGTGGAAGAAAAAGATAAATAATTTCTTCTTCTCAAAACAGACAATTTAGATAGAGGTTTATATTGTCTTGAAATGTCAAGGCAGTGAAGTTGGAGTGATTTTGCCTACAAGGAACTGCTATTTTCATGCAGCTACATCCCTGTCAGTGTTACCATTGTCTTGAGATTATTTGTTGCATTGTTAGATGAGAGGAAGTGAGAATCACAGATTCAGAATAGAGGTTATAGAGAGAATGGTCATGAGGAGGCTTTGTCACTGCACTGCACTCATGAGCAGACAAGTCATCATCTGGCATCTAGAGAGGTGCCTGTTAGTGGGTAACTCAGCTCTTCCTTCTGTAAGATCTGAGCTGTAGGGACAGATGTTCTCAGTGCTCTGGTGTGTACAGAAGCTGGAGGGAGTACAGCATAGCAGCATATGCAGATTTATCGTGTCCACTTGATCCCTATTGAGTCATCCAGTAGCTGTCAGATCTTCTCCGCAGCAGACCTTAGGGAAGAGAGTTGCCATGGGCACAAGGTTCAGCCACTTTCTTTTATTATGGAATAGAGTAGGAGATTTTGAAGGGTAAAGAATATCTGAGTTTTGAATAGTTTGTCATCTGCTCTATAACTAAGTCTCATCTCATCTCTCAGGATTGAGCCATTTGGGTATTAGGGAGGTGTACACGATGAAGTAAGCAAGCTCGTCTGCTTTTGAGGCCTAGACTAATTAAGGAATTTAATATATAGCATTGCTTTATCTTTTTCAGAGATGAAGAAAAGTTTGTGCGTCGTGAGCACTACAGTGGTCCGACCTCAGACTTCAAGGAGGAGGAGGGCTACAAACCAGATGTTAAACTCGGCTACACAGATGATGATGGACATGTGCTTAATGCAAAGGAGGCTTTCAGGTTAGCACAGCTAACAGTATATCTGTTTTTAAGATAGGATGCACTGTGGAGGGTAGCCTGTCCAATGGTAGTACATTCTTTAGAAAAAAAAGTTCCCACAGTAATTGCCTGTTTAAGAAAAAAAAAATATCCAAGGAGGAAGCAGCTTTTCAGTGGAAACAGACAAGATTATGGGTCCGCCGTGTTTCTATATCATTCATGCATGCCATCCTCACCATAATGTGTGAACCAACTGATGGATTTATGTGAAACTCTGCATTGTCATCATGCCAATCACATGTTCTTTCAGTTGTCTACCAGCAGCCATATTAATATGGCGACTGAGTTGGGAGCAACACTAGAGCCACTTAAATTAGGTCCTTAAGAAAAAGGTCCTGGGGTAAGCTGTTATACCCATTCAGAAGGTTCTGAGTTAGATTCTCACTCGCACATGTGTACAGATTTTTTTGCTCACAGATGATGCCTTCACATCTACCACAGCTAAAATTTTTGGAATACAAAGGATACCCCCCCCCCCCATGAGTTAGAGCCCATATTAAATTGTAGGGTCCGCCTGCTGACCAGCACTATCATGATTACCCTATCAGGGGGGCTGAGATTGTCTTCCACATCAGATGCTTTCAGTAGAACACTTAGAACACTGTTGTTCTGACTTCATTTTCTCCCATTCTGTGTATCTCAGTTTGTAACT